CCCCAGTCCTAATTCTCATTTCTCATCCGTTTATTCGGCTCCTTTTGGCTCTTTGGCCCAGCCCGCGTATGAAAACCCATATGAAAGTTCGGTGAAATTTGATCAGGGAGGCGGATACGCTGATGATAGATATGGAGGTTATGGTCGAAGTCGGTCTGATTTGGGTCCGGACTTGTACGGTAAGCGGCCGGAGGATGCGGCATCGCGCTTCGACTCTGGCTACGATGACGGTTTTGGCGAAGGCGTATATGCTTACCAAGGTGGCAAAGTTGAGCCTTACGGGGCTCGCGGTACAGCTCCTAAGTCTTCGACGTGGTCAACAGGGCCTGCTTTTGATGATTATGGGAGGCCGATAAATATTCCTTCGAAGAAAGACCCACCGACGAGTTCACTGAAAGTAGTTAGGGCGATCCCTAAGGTGGAAGCTCAAGAAGACGTCAAAAATTGGGTGCAGAAGTTTCGAGTGAAGCTCTTGGCTGAAAGTGGAGGTCAGAGCACCATGGATGTACTTTGTCAGGTATGTCAATGCAGTCACAGGACGACATTTTATCGTAGATTTCATCATTTTTATCCAATTATCTCGTATTGCTGCCTTTTTTTTTTTTTTTTTTTTTCGTTTTTAGTTCTATACGACCGTACGTTAGTGCCAAACCCTATAGGATTTGGTTGTCAAAATTGTGCCTTGTCTATATTGGTATGTTCTTTCTCATCTCAAGGGACAAAAAAATCTTCAGGCAAACTGCGGAATATAGTTGTAAAAATCGAATCATGAAGGCTAAAAGCCATGAAAATCGTCTGCTGAGTTTTTGGTTTCATGTGAGTTTAGATTTCCTTAGAAGGGTTTTCACGCATGTAATATTTTGCTTTGGTGTTTGTCCTATTATAACAGTAGTAGGCAGATTATTTAACTTGTGCCAAGTTATGTTGGAAGTCAAAGATTTAGGCTTCTCCAAGTCTGAGTATGTGTTAATTTACCTTTAAGTGAACATTGATGGCTACCGAACTGAATCAAGTTTTGAGTTTGAGTTGAACTTACAATTGTATACTTGTTCATATGCTCAAGGTGACCTTTGTATTTGTTCAATTATTCTTAGTATGATCCTTATGCCTGTGCGTTGGAGTTTTTAACCACTATTTTACCTTCTGCATTTTTTTTTTTTTTTTTTTTTTTTTTTTTTTTTTTTTTTTTTTTTTTTTTTTTTTTTTTTTTTTTTTTTTTTTTTTTTTTGTTATGTTCCCTTTAGAAACGAGGTTTGAGTAGAACTTGAATTGTGAACTAATTTATTTCAACTGTGTTTTTATTCAATTATTGTAACTCTAATCTAAATCCTGTTCACTTGGTTTTTTATGCTTACCCGTTGGAGTTTTTTAGTCATTGTTTTACCTTCTCATTATTATTATTTTTTTATCTGTATATGTTTTCTTTGCTTCGACTAATGTAATTGTTATAAGTTGTTTGAGCACAAAGTTGGCCTCGGTTATTTACTCTTTTTTGTAATCATTTCCAGGTTGGTCTGGATGGTATTCGTATGCTTGATCCAAATTCTAGTCGTACATTAAGGATATATCCTCTTGAGACCATCACTAGATGTGAAGTAAGTTGGGATAATGGATTCTTATTTTTTTGTTGTTGTTGTTCCCTTGGATTTATCAGCCATGGACTTACCATATGGATTTTTTATATATATTTTTCAAGGTATATGATTCATCTACCCTGGTTTTCTGGTCGAAGAGCTCTGTGGATATTGAGCCACGGCGTATTAGATTGCAGTCAAACAAGTACACTACCAACACACTTCTGGACACGGTGACTGCTGCAACTGTACAGGCAATAATCCTTTCCCATTTCCCTCTGGTTTTTAAGTGCAGAAAATGATTTGAAGTTTATTTATTGTTTTCCTTCATTTGTGTTTTTTAACCCCCTTGTTATTTCAAAATAAACACTTGATCATTTACATTAGAAGCATTGTCTTTAGAATTCCTACCCCTGCTAACTATGCCATTTGTGATTTCAAGACATTATTGCACAGTAAAGAACCGACTTTGTCATACCCCTCTGTTGTATAAATCTAGTTGCGAGTAGTTATTACTTATTATGTTGTGGTCGATGAGTGTTCTAGTTTATGTTTAAGGTCCTTTCATTCTACACAAATTTCAGGACACAAATTAGTTTATGTTTAATGCCCGTAAGTGTACACATTCCATCGATACACACTGATCAGTACCTATCTTAGATACTCCATGCATGATAATGTTGACACTTTTTTATGGAGATTGGGAACTCTTTTCTGTACGTTCTTCCCCAGTTATTTTTTATGTTGGTAGTTAACTTAATATGATTCTTTTATTGGTTTGTTCTTTCTTTCAAAATCACAGTTCAAGGAAATGGGTGGAAGAAGTAGGCCTTCTGAATCTTTTAAGGCGCCTGAGCAGTCTGCAGAGAAGAAGAAAGGGTTGGTTGATTGGGTGACTCTGATGAAGCCAGGCAACGAGGAGAAAGACCATTGGGTATCTTGACGAAGTTATCATTAATTGTCAGCTTGTTGATTGCAAGATTGTCCGGGGATTTATGCATTTGCAATTTTTCTTTTTCCGTTTTAGGTACCTGATGAAGCAGTCACAAAATGTACAGCCTGTGGAACAGACTTTGGGGCTTTTGTACGAAGGGTAAATTTGTTTTCTATAAATAATGGAACGCGGTTCATAAGATTTTTTTCTTTTTTTACGAATCTCATTGTTTCAACCTTTTTCTCAGCATCACTGCAGAAATTGTGGAGACATTTTCTGCGATAAATGCACGCAAGGTAGAACAGCTCTGACGGCTGAAGAGAATTCTCCTCCAGTTCGTGTCTGTGACAGATGCATGGTATGTTATGTATAACTTCGATTTATTTGACATTATTATTCCTTTTTTTTTTTTAATCTTAGGGTAGATGCTGTGGTATGGAACGTGTCTCCAATGCTGTGTTTATGTATTGCATTAACCTGCGATCAATTAACATGTCTTTTCTTCTATGTCTGCAGGCAGAAGTGACTCATAGGCTCACTAATGCCAAGGAACTGGCTAGTAAGCCTGCAGGATTGCATAGTCATGAGGATCTTGCCAAAAAACTTAAGGTAATGTTCTGTAACTTGCCTCTCTGCATATCGTGCTCAAGGCTTGTGAGAGATTCAGTCTAATTTTAATTTTATTTTTTCTGATATTGTAGGATGAAATGGAGAGAAACGGTTGGTCATCAGGTAATTTCTTGTTCCTCTATTAATACACCGATTGAAGCATCTGGTTTTGCAACCTCCATCCACTTTGGATGCGAGCGCTTCAAATTTTAGGGTCGTTATTGTGGAATATTCATATTCTTATTTAGGATAGTAGCATATTGATGTTTCTGTCACTTTCAGGGAATGCCACAGCATCCAAATCTGACGGATCTGGGAAACGGATGAAGGAAGTTGCATGTCCTACTTGTACTGTTCATTTACAGGTTTGATCCTTGGATCATCATCATCATCATTTTTTTTTTTCTTTTTTTGTTTATGATTACCAATTAAGTAATTTAATTGTCTTGGACATTCTGATTGCCAAGACATTCCTTTAAGGCGTCTTATAAAAACAAATGTATCTGTGTAAGGAAATTATTGATGTGAAGCATCTTATGAAGTATAATAATGACAACACACCGGAACTTGAGAGGAGTTAAATTTTTGGGTTGATGTATGTAATATATGAATATTGCAGGTCCAGGTTCCAAGCTCGGGTTCTGAGACGATCGAGTGTGGGGTTTGCCAGCATCCGTTCCTTGTGAGCGCTCACTGACTCCAGCGTTTTTTTTAGGAATGTGGCTTCATGGAATGACTTGTTGTTCATCATGATATTTTCTCTGTTTACACCTCCAAATAATTGAGGTTTTTTTTTTTTTTTTTCACTTCAACATGTTCATCGCTGACTCTCTCTCTCTCTCTCAAGGCCTTGAGCTTTAATAACTTGATGTCAGTTGTGATTCCGTATTGATTGTTTTGTAAATGGAGTTGTTTGTCTAGTAGTCCTCTTGGAACACTGTTCTATTTGATGTACAAAGAAATTATGGTTTGCTATGATGATATGAAATCCCACTTTCCCGCTTCACTCTAGAATGTACAATGAGCCTTTGATTTCGCATCTAAAAGATGTCTATAATTAACTTGATTGGTTCAATGCTTCATATTATTCAAGGATATTTTAATATTTAATAGATAATTAGGGATTATGATGAACGATAACCACGAGGTCATTGAATACTGCAAGTGGCATGTAGAATTTGCAAACTTAATCGAACTGGTTGGTTAGTTTTTTCACTGAATTTGAGAGCTTATTCTTGAAAAGTTAAAAGAGCCACTAGATCAGAACCAATATGAACATGATCACCCTAGACTACTCAATTAGAGATCGCTCTAGATGACTCAATATGAACACGATCACTCTAGATTACTCAATAACTACAATGCGTTTGTTAGAGCAAAATTCAAAAAAAACGATTACTCAATATGAACACGATCACTCTAGATTACTCAATAACTACAATGCATTTGTTAGAGTAAAATTCAGAAAAAACGAGACGACACAACTATTGCATAAAATTTTTGAGGTGAAACTCTCTCAATAGTCAATGAGATTGAAAAGCTCTTAGAAGTGATCAAACTGTACGTTAAAGCAATCAACCTTGAATGAAAAGACTACATCGAAGTGTCAATTTTTCATTAGGTTCTTAATCTTGTTTGGATTAAGAATAAAAACTTTCATGAAATAAAACACTGATTTCAAATATCATATATCAGACAAAGGTCATCTGTCACAATCAGAGAATACACATCCTAATGATAAGCCTAAAAAAATCCATCATGTAAAACAATTCAATTATTCTGACCATGAATATAATCAAACAAATACAAAACAACACAGGAGAACAAACATAACAAAAAAGGTTTGATTCTACAATACAAGCTAGAGAAGAACACATCGCAGATATCGTAAGCAAAATCAACCAAAATTTGCAAGCATTAAAATTCAAGGGACATTCCCTCCAAAAAATGGTCACTGATGATTCAGGAACTAGTTCAATGAATGTTATGTACTAGAGTCACTAATGTCACTCAGAAAGCACCAGAAAACTAAATGATAACCTCAAAGATTAGAGCTTCCAACCTATACTTCTTTTCTTATATTTGGAATAATAAATAAATACTCTTCGTACCCCCAAAAACTAGCCTCTTTTAAACTGCCAAAACCATGTAAGTAGACGTATATGATCCTAATAAGCAAGTGCTAAAACCTCCGGGAGAAAAAATTAATCAGATATCAGTCTGAACATCCTGATTCACCTCCCCATTAGTAAGTTGTGAAGAATCAGCTGACTCAGAAGAAGATTGTATCTTGGTAGTACTCTTGGTATTACGAGGATCGGTGTCGCTTGGCGTACTTTGGTTTATACCTTCATCCAATCTGACTCCTTGAAAAGAAGTTGCCAGACTATCATGATCTGATCCACTTGGAGTAGAAGAGGTCAAATCAGTTCTAAGCTGATTGGAATTTATTATCCATTTCTTCCACTCATTTCGCTTTCTGATCCTATTATCCTGCAACAACATCAGGCAGAAGAATTAGGCCAGCAGGACAACTTGAGCGAAACTCAGCTCCTCTCCTGCTTCCTATAAAGGTATATATCTATACCCACAAACCAGTAATTTCACAAAAGATGGGATTACTACTATAGATTTCACATTCGGGTCAGTCATCAGACAAGTAATATTGTACTTCACAACTGAACCGAAGAATTCGTTGGATGGTGGTATTATTGGATAGGTTTAATCGATCTGGAAAACAAACCTGCACTTCCAATACAGTCGACGTTCTCAAGGATTCTATTATCCATTGAATATTGGTCGTCAAATTCTTTACCTGCAAAAGCAAAAGTAATGCAACAATCAACCACAGTAGTGTTTTCATTCATAGGTAGTAATTTTAAAGTAAAGCAAACATTTAAATGTTTATTTTAATAACACTGGTTTCAATAACAAGTCATTTACAAGCTATTGCTTTAGTCGAACAAGATGCAAGAAAACTAGTCGGGGAAAAAATTATCATAACAAAACCAGTATTATTAAAATAAACATTCAAAATTAACTTAAGCAGAAAACACATACTACCCATATAGAAACTCATTTATGCATAGACAAGTGACAACCAGCATACATACACAACTGGACGAGGAAAAACACTTTAATTAGCAGAGTACATTAAAAGTAGTAATGAAACCTTTTTTCCCCTTAAAATATAAGAAAATTATGTCTACGAAGATGGGAGAGAAATAAAAAATTTGTAGGGAAAAAGATAAAGTGATTAACAGCTTCAAGGGATATACAAATTGGCCATGCAACCCAACACTACAGATTTGCTCAAATAAAACCTTGGTCACAACCAAATGTCCGCACTCCACCCAGAAAAAAATGAACAAAGGTAGAGATTTGAGAGGGAGGATAAGACATCATGATGATCAATGACAAAATTTTAGTACAACAATCTCTTTGTTTTCACTCATTTGAGCACAAACAAGATCGAGAAACCAAATTTTAACACAAAACACCTCTCTAGCAAAAAGGTAGTCTTCCTTTAACATACTCTTGTTGTTGATAAGTCTGTTTGAATGACATAACTAGTAAGGAAATGTTGGCTCCAGGTAAAGAAAAAGGCCATGAGTGCGACGAAAACATTATGGATACATGTTAATATTGACCTATACAAATACATATGACATCAAGTATAAATCAAATATAGACTTCAATATTTAGAAAAAAATAATATATAAATATGAGAAATTATGTACGAGTATACAAGAAGAACTAAGACAACTAAAAGCCTCAAAACTCCGGTAAAATTATAGTCCAACTAGCAACATACCCATCTTAAGATTTTCATTCCCAAACTACTCAAACTATGAAATCAACTAGTTAAAAAGACTGGTATTTTAAACCAACTAAAAGCCTCAAAACTCCGAAAAGATTAGTCCAACTAGCAACATACCCATCTTGAGATTTTCATTCCCAAACTACCCAAACTATGTAATCAACTGGTTAAAAAAACTGTGGTATTTTAAACCAATTAAAGGAAGGATGGTTTGTTTGAGTTGTCTTCAAAATATATTTTGTTCGAGTTGTCTTCAAGTAACCAACTAAAAAAAATTGTCTTCATTTTAATCTACAACACCAAGAATTGTTGAGGATGAGAGCTAAGTGAATATAGTTCCTTTCTTGAATCAGTGGGGAATTTCACGCATCTCAAACCCACAAGTTTCAGTAAAAAAAGTGAATTTAGCAGATATTGAAGAAAAGTATCAGTCACCTTTCCGAAATAATGAACCAAAAGCTTCAAAACAAGAATCTTCAAGAACAACGTCCTCCTAGTTAAGTTTTGTAATCGATTGCACAATGTTCCTACTAACATTGGATTTAGCATCGGAACCATCATCATGTGAAGGAAAAGTAGGGTCCTTTTGTCGAGTGGATAACTCTTGAGTTAATAAAAAATTTGGATTAAAAGGCAATTTGGTTTTAAGTATGGAGAGTAAAGAATGTGAGGTGAACAGCCAACTTGCTTCACAAGAGGGGCTAAAAGACTTCAACCCGATCACGATTTTAACAGTTATCCTCAAGGATTGGATCAAATGAAGAATAGTGCTACTTTGCCGAGAAAAAGACAAAGGATAGTTCTAAAAGAAGATTGTCTGAAATATGACTCACTTGAGGGAGCTCTTTTCTTTTGTTTCTCATATAGTAAAAAGTTAGAAATAAACTAACATTAGATGGAACACGCTATATGATAAAAATAAATTCATGCACTTCCCAATAAGCAATTTATTTATGAATAAAATTCACGACCGCTCTAAAACCTATATATTTAACTTTCTTTATTTTCATAAAGAACTGGCGAATTATTATCAGAACTTACCCTAGAAAAACTGGCTATCAGAGAAATTGGAACCCAGCCTTGATCATCCATCCGGCACCTTAGATATCCATCCATTATCAAATTCGTGTCACTGCAAACAGCGTGGACATGAATGTACAGTTATAATCATTAATGATGAAAAATGAGACACAGAACCAAATGGATCGCATGGGAAACCACATTACCAGAAATAATATTCAATCTGCTTAACTAGTGATGCAGATAGAGTGGGATCAACAGCAGAATAGTACACTGAAGGCGGTAGCATGAAAGGCATTCCTCTGTAAGTCTCTAAGGGCCATGTAGGGACATAGACAAACTCTGATCAAAACAAGGATGAAAATTAACATTCAGATTGGAAAATTATAGACCTACTGTCATCATTAGTCCTTAGAAAAACACCCACCAGGAGGATGCATCGGATTCCCATAAGGTAAAACAGGCTGGGGAAACTGAGCAGTGTAAGGTGGCGTAGGGGGCATCAAGCCTCTAGTAGGGGGCCTGTGCTGCCGAAAGTGAGCATCTCGAGCATTAGAATATACTCCGCGATCTTGATCACGCTGCTTTCCCCCACGATTGTTTTGGTAGTGACCATTACCACGAGGATGGAGAGCTAAATTCCCCCTAGGAAAGAAGTTTGGGTAATCAGAAACAAAATTTGTCTGAGGAACAAAGCCTGCAATAGCCCGTGGATGCCGATTATTGCTCCTGAATAATGGTTCTCCATGAGAAGGATCAGGAATTGCCGGCATCATACTACATGGAATTTGAAACACAGGAAAAGGTGGTGGCGGTGGCGGTGGAGGGCGATAAAAGCCTCGTGCAGGCCCTCCCATTGAGCTGCCACCACCTCCAGACCGCCTCGAGGATCTTTGTCGAGCAACAACTGGATGTTTCAGACTGGGGTCCGATTTGGCATTATTTGTAGCTTGCCGCTGAGGGGGTACAATGGTAGGTCCCTGCTCAAAAAACACAAGATAAACTACATCATGCACAAGAAGGGAGGACTGATACTTCTAAAAACAGACTTAGAAGGAGAATCAACTGCTAATTTAGGAGAAGCCTTCGCGGACTCTGCAAGATCGGGCCAAGAGTCTGCCCCCATTACAGGACCACCCTCTTCAGAAGATGCAAAGAAATCAGACGTCGGAGCAGGAGCTGGGGTTTCTGGTGTTTCTGGAGCAGAAACTGTAGAGAAAGATGATGACGAAGATAAAGGAGACTGAGAGATCAATTCCGGCTCGCCTCGGACGACTGCAGCCCAAGCACACAGATGATTCTTCGGCGGGAACTCGTAGGTATTATCGCCCTTGAAACTAGTTGGACTAGGCGAACGGTGATTAACCGTCGCCATTCCGATCCAAAACCTACCGCTAGATCGGAACGAACCGAGATTGATGAGAAGAACAACTTGAACAGATGATCAATTGAAAAATCAATTCGAAAAACATGATTTCAACCCAACAAAAACAAAACAATAAAATTAGGGTTTGAATAGATCTAGCCCGATCAAATCACGCGTCGGCTCTGCTCTCCCGTCTCCCAATTCGCTCAACCTATTATATTTATATTTTCAGATTTTTGTTAAAACCAACGAAATAACAAAATAGTTTTTTAACTGAAATTTAATTGTATTATCATCAATTACAAATATTCTGCATTTTCTTAATTAATTATATTATTACAATGTTCGAGTAACAACTATTCCTGTCCCAACAAAAATTAGCAATATACATATCAATGTTGTTTTACATAAATAAAATTTTAAATTTGTATTTATTTAATTTTTAATTCTATATTATATTTTATCATATCAATAATACTTTATGATATAACAGTTTTTCTCTCTCTATATATATATAATTATAAAAAAATTATTTATTGTTTTTTTAATAACATGATTTTCAATGAGGTGAAGAAAAAATTGTGTCTATATTTTAACGTTATAATTTATATTTAAATTTAAAATTTCAAAATATTTTATAATTTATTAATCTAGTCGTAAAAGATTGAGTCAGGTTAAATTGTTTAAAGTTTAATCATATTTATTAGATTCACAAACTTTCAAGTACGAGATTCGATTTATTGGTGGATCCAAAATATTAATTTATTATATATAATTTTATGAGATAATACTAAAAATATTTTAACTTATATAATTAGATATTTATCATAAATTTTAAATGTGGTCAAATTATATTTTAAATACTTTTTGTACCTATTTCCTATTTTATTTTTTTTAACTTAATTAAATTTATTTTTTTTTATTTTTGTTATTTTTTATTATTTTATAAATTAAATCATTAATCATATATTTAAAAATATTATTATTTAAAATTTTAGATTATAAATAAATCATATTTCAAATTTTAAAATATTATCTAAATTTTAACATTAACCATAATCTTCAACATTCATAACATAATTCTCAAATTTATATTTTATAATTATTTTTTTTAAAGACTATTATATTACAAAATATTAAAGAAATTAATAATATTTTCCACAATTTCAAGTCTGCTTCCTGGTTGCAACGACGACAGAGACTGGCTGACTGGTGAGATCAATTCTTGCTCACATGGGACGACTGCACCCAACAAATGACTATTCCACCTTAACTCGGAGCTATTATCGTAGATGAAACCAATTAGACAAGACAATAGGTGATTAGTTAATCGTATTATATTATCATAACTTATATAAAATATAAAAAGTAAATCTTCAAACAAATCTTGAATGGGGTAACAAAATTTAATGCATGTGTTTTATAAATTTATATATTTTTTTCATTAAAAATTTTGTTGTAAATATTGATATTGCCACTATTTCTCAAGGGTTATCCACTTAAAAAATAAAAATACATATAATATTTAAATGTTTTGTTTGGTAGAATGTTTGAAATGAATGAAACCAATTTATTATTTATTAATAATCGAAGACAGATGTTGAAAACCATTCAAAATTAAGAAGATTCGTTCGGGTCATAGGCCCACTATTAAAATCCAAATATTAGTTTTGAGTTATAGAAAATTTGAATATATAATATTTTAAAAAACACCAAAACACCATTCAAAATGTCGTTTTTTTTTTTTTTTAATATTTAGTGAAATAACGAACGAAATCTGTTAGAAAATTCCGGTCCATTCATATTTTGTCAAGAACACGTGAATTGACCTTTGCATCCGTTGCCTCTCAATTTCTGGTAAATGCACAGCAATTTACTGGGGATATTTTTGTTAGATATGAAATGACTAAAATGCCCCCAATAGTCTTATTTACTAATCTTGTAATTATAGAATGAATTAGTTTAAAAAGATTACAAGATCAAATATATATATATATATATATATTATTGAATTCGACATAATTAATTCCCGTAAAGAAATTTTGGTTCCAGCTTCCATTATTATTTCATAAAAATTAGAGGAGGAGAGTATTTTAGTTCATTTATTATATATATAATGTAATATATATTTGAATTTTATTAAAGAAAAGGATATCTTGAAATTTGCTCAGACCTTGACATGTGAAGTAAGTCTTTAGTCAACATCGATACCACAAATATTTGAGAAATATTTCAACCTAACAAAAAAAATTAGGAAGCTCCACCATTTTTAGGTTCATATTATTATATTCTTTAATGCACGTCTATACCTTCACTTCTTTATAATTTTAAAATTAGTTTACTAGATATTATATTAATAATAAAAATATTCACTTATTAGAAAACATATTTATTTATTTATTTATTTTTACAAAATATTTCAAACTAAAGATGTAAACTTCTAATTTAATTCAAAATATTTTTGTGTTTTATAATTTGGATATTGTGTGTTTATATTTATGGATATTTTAATGTCATGGTAAGTAAACAATGAGACAAGAAAGAGAAAATAGAGCATTATTTATTTAAAATTAAGGTAAGTTTCACACTTAATTTCTAACAAATTTACCGGTTCTTCATCTCATTGGACGCCTATAAAATGAAGGAACTTGTGCTCTTCGCCTTACTCTTCATCATCGTCCACATAACAATTTTCTCTCTCTCTCTCGTTCACTGTCATGGCGCAAACGACGCCGAATCACACACAGACGGTCTCCGGTTGGGCAGCTCACGATTCTTCCGGCAAGCTCACACCGTACACTTTCAAACGCAGGTGCGTAACACAGAGCCTTCTCCTTTTTCTTATCTCGGTTTTTGTTTTTTCCGGCGAACTGATCGGAAGGGATGACGGTAACCGCCACTGATTTCTGCAGGGAGAATGGTCCAGACGATGTGACGATAGATATTTTGTACTGTGGAATATGCCATACCGATCTTCACTATGCCAAAAACGAGTGGGGCATCACCATGTATCCTGTAGTTCCCGGGTACTGTAACAGCCTCTGTTTCTCTTCTCGGACATTTTCTCATACACTTTGTCTACTTCTTTGAAATTGCATCCATGCAATGAATTAAATGAATTAAAAACGATTACATTCACCGAATCAATATATCCTCTCATCTGTCATTTGCTCAAACACCTTGTCTGCTACTTTGAAGTTGCAATCATATAACAATCCATTAAATTTATGCTAAGCCATTAGTTTAAGATTTAAAATTATGTATCTAATTATAAGTAATTTCATTTCTTCATCCAACAAGCTTTATATATATGTTTGAAACATTAGATAACAACTTTAAAATCTTAAACTAACCATAACATATACATCAAGCTTTTGAGTTGAATGGTAATTCAAAATCTTAAAGAAATGAAACTAACTTAAATTCTGATCTCTCTGTTCTTATTCTTCAGGCACGAAATGACAGGTGTGATTTCGAAGGTGGGAAGCAACGTGAAGAAGTTCAAAATAGGGGATAGAGTAGGAGTGGGATGTATAGCCGCTTCGTGTTTGAGCTGTGAGTTCTGCCAAGATTCACAAGAGAATTACTGTGAAAAATTGCAGTTTACATACAATGGAATCTTCTGGGATGGGAGCATAACTTATGGCGGATACTCCAAAATGTTTGTTTCAGATCAGAGGTGAGTTTTTTTTTTTTTTTTTTTCACATATGGCCAAAATCTGCGAGGTGTTTGTGAAAATATCTGAATGAGAAGGAAAACATGTATATAGGTACGTGGTGCACATCCCGGAGAGCCTGCCGATGGACGCTGCGGCGCCGTTGCTGTGCGCTGGGATTACAGTGTTCACGCCCATGAAAGACATGGATCTGATCCACTCACCGAGGAAGAAGGTGGGAGTGGTGGGTCTTGGTGGGCTTGGCCACATAGCTGTCAAATTTGGGAAGGCGTTTGGCCACCATGTGACTGTCATCAGCACCTCCGCTTCCAAGGAGAAAGAAGCTAAAGAACGCCTTGGCGCCGACGAGTTCATAGTCAGTAAAGATCCTCAACAAATGCAGGTGACTTACAATATGCAGAAAAAAAAAAATTCCCCATCAAATAATTATCAAAAGTGAATTCAAATGTGGTAAGAACAACCGTAGGCTTATTTACTCTTTTGTTGGGTTGCAGAGGCACAGGAGGACGTTGGATTTTGTATTGGACACTGTGTCGGCAGAGCATTGTATTGGACCAATCTTGGAACTGCTAAAAGTGAATGGGACATTGTCCATTGTGGGGGCCCCAGACAAGCCCATTCAACTGCCCTCCTTCCCTTTAATCTTTGGTATTCCAAACCCCTAAACGCACAACACAAATTTTAGCTCAAAAATATTCATACAACTTGTTGATTACGTCTACTAAATATTCCTTGAACTTTGAACTTGATAGGAAAAAGGACTGTGAAAGGAAGCATTATAGGTGGAATACAAGAAACTCAGGAAATGATGGATTTGTGTGGGAAGTACAACATCACTAGTGATATTGAGGTGGTAAAGCCCGACGACATCAACCATGCTATGGAACGTCTCACTAAGAACGATGTTCGATATCGATTCGTCATTGACATTGCCCAAAATAATACTAAGTTGTAATATACACAACTTATTGAATAATGTAAGTTTATGACCGCTTATTGCACGATTATATAATTGATAGTTGGGAATGGTGGATCCAACTGCTTCTTATCTATACATATATTATGTGGTTTTTGAATGTTTAAATTATTCCACTTTTAATGAATAAATTTATTTTATTTTGTCAAGATTTGTCAAGATTGTATAAGTTCGGAATTGGTAGGAGGGGAAAAGTTGTTTGGCGATTGGTTCTGGTTCTTCCATTTGAGAATGTTTGGTAGTTCAACTTAAAACATCTTAAATAATATAATAAGATAATATAATGGTGATGGGGTTAGACGATTTTAATGTTACAGTATTTTTAGAAAGAAAAAAACATTTAGAAAATGACTATTCATACTTTTTTTTTTAGTTATGAATCTCCATCTGTATTTATGAGGATGAGGAAAGTGGGTTTATACTCTACCGTGTATTTGAAATTTGAATTCGAATTCGCAAGGTATAAAATTAAACACACTAATCTTTAATTGATTTAGTTGAATAATAGCGTGATAATTAATATAAGCAAACTAGACTTTAATTATGTGCATTTTTTTAAAATCAAATTAAATAGAAACCAATTTCATATTTAAAAAATCAATTTCAAAATTGAAGAAAAATATGAAGAATCAAATAAAAAACTAAATTCAAATCTCAAAATCAAAATAAAAAAGTGTGTTAGGTTTGAAAATTTATTATTAGCCAAACTGAAAGTGAGATAAAATGTTGTGAGCTTTGTGTTTTAAATAATGATGGTGTTTTAATATATTGTTGCACTACAATAATTAAGATGGTCATTTATTGTAAGCTTGTTTTCTTGTCTAATTACTTTTCTTACAACGTCACGAAAAGTTTAGACTTGCATCCCGTAATCATTAAAAATCATACAATTTCTTCTTTTTATTATTATTATTTTTTTTTTTATGTATATCCAGCGGTTGCCATAAGAGAGTTATTGTGACACCTCATATTATCATAATATTTATTAAATAGAAGGGTTAGGTTTAGGTGGAGCATTCGACTTTCGAATATTATCAACACACTTTTGCAATCCATTCTAATCAATATCACGATAATAGGCCAAACAAAATGCACTGGTCCACCAGTGGTCCTAACATTTCTTCTATTAAAAAAACAGAGTAGACTTCGAAATGCATTGAAAAACAGCGAACGGTTAGAATATTATCAGAGGGAACCAGAGGTGAAAAAAGAAACTGTAATAGAGAACTCAAAATGTGGCCAAGAGTTTCTTTTTTAAAAAATACTAAAATACAAACGTCAAAGCAGCCGCTCACCTAAGTCTACAAGAAAACGAGTCGCCACCCTCACATGGCGGCTCTTTCAAACACTTCTTCCATCTAACTACCACCTCCAAAGGGCAAAAATAAAAGAAGTCAAATCCCTACTCTGTTAATATGGTCGTCCCTTGCAACTAGCAACTAAAGGAAGAGAGGATCCTAATGATAATATTGCATATAATTAAGATTTTAACCTTTAACCACTTCATGCGGCAGCTTGGATCGGTCCTCCACTAGTCCTGAAACCACGGCCCCTTCCACGAAAACCCCCCCTTCCACGTCCACGCCCTGAAAATGTAAACAATTCCAAAGTGAACACAAGCTCAAAAGAAAGGCAATAGTTGAAATATAAGGCTGAATTAAAACCCTTCGCGGCTTTAATTCAATACAAAAAGTATTGACCAAAACCTGCATATCCCAGCTAAATAGCCCAATCAAAGATCAATTAAATATAAGCCATACTGAAAGAAGGAAATAAGAAAATACCACGGCCTTGAGCTGGTAAGTCTTGGTTGTATCCTCCATCTTGCTGTAAATCATACTGAGGACCGTTGTATCCTCCTCTTCCACGGCCACGGAAATTACCACCACTCCTCCCTCGACCCCTCCCTCTTACATTTCCGCCCCTATTACGGTCCCAATCTCCATCATCATATTCATTTGTCACATAGCCATTGCCTGGGGGTCCTAAAACAAGTACAATTTAACAATAAAAACAAACTGTTACGGGGGCATATTCACTCTCCTTCATGCAAGAAACTGAATGAATAACAAAATTCCAATTCCTATATTTGGCACTGCAAGTCTGTCACTAACCATAAAACCCATTATCTTCCATACACAATAACATGACAAAGGGCTAAAGAAAGACTGAAATGAAATCAAATGCTACACACCTCTACCCCGGGCTCTTCCTCTGCCATTACGGCCCCGTTCTCTACCTCGTCCTGGACCCAGATCATGAGGTGAACCTTCTGCAGTATACAAAAACAACGGTGTCAAATATGCAATACAATAATCCAATAATAAAAAATAATAATATGATAAGACATGTCAGTACCTCCCTCGTAGTCGTACTCCACATATGTTTTCACCAGCTCAGCAGGAAGCGGAGGCTGGTACCTGAGGTAATAGTTACGTGTGAGAAAATTGTTTATTTGTCGAAAAGCATTTAACAATTATGAGATGTAGAAGACTAACAAATCTGAAGAATCTTAAATAAAGTCTTCAGAAAATTTTTAAATTATTAGTAATAATCATTCAATCCACAGACCCTACGTAAGCAAAACCCTGCATATCTGACAAATTATAATAAATGAATCTGTGAGAGAAATTGAACTTAAGGTCTTGTTCATGTTTAATGCCATAGACTTTCAGATAATAAATAAAATGAGAATATCTTCATATAAGTTCAACAGTCTCAAATTTATTTAAAATGAGACACCTTAATAGCAAGTAAGGACTCACCCCACAGAAGATGTATTTAATTCTTTCTTTGAAAGTGTTATCACAATCATCGAGACATGCCTTGTTGTTTCCAATCTGTAACAACAATCAAATAACTCTATGAAACAAAGCTCAAAGCAAGAAAATTTTCCACATGTTGAAAGACTCATGTCATTGAAATAATGAATATGGTATTATAAAGTAAGAGGCTAGTTTGAATAATCTTCGCATGACTAGTGTTTAAAATTATCTTACGGAAGAAGGCCTTCCTCCAAGGGCTCCCATGTATCAGTGATGTCTGTGGAGCCAATTGAGGTATTCTGATGAAGACCTACAATTCGCCTCTGCATTTATCAACAGAAACACTATCAGGCCCAATCTCAAAAGTATCAAGTGGTTCAGCATCAGCAACTCAAACTATTACAGCAAACCTTGATTAGTTCCACGATGGTCACAGTCTTGTTTATAGCCCTTCCCATAGCCTTGAAAACAATTTCATTGGAACCCTTTTCCTGCAAAATATACGGAAAAGGGTATGATATATGCAATGGGTCAAATGTCAAATTAATGAAAATTCTTATCATCAATAAATGTAATATAATACACATAATACCATGCATTTCCTTTAAAACAAGGAGTATGCCATAGTCTCATTCTCTCTTCAGAAAATAAAATTGACTTGCACGTAGTACAAATACAACAAAAATTTGCAATTTATCCTTTATTATGTCTACCCAAGCATTAAAAAAAACAGAACAGCAATTAAAGATTTATGACCTAAATGCCTAAAAGACCTACTGCCATTGAATCGTGCAAAAGATAACCAACAACACTACTGATTAGAAACACAGAATTTGATATTTTAGGTCAGCAACTCCTAGAGCTATACATAAAATGAAAGCACTATGAATTTTGATAAAACTAATAGCCATATCGCATGATTCGTGACAATGAACTTTCCAATTTGTTCCACTAGCTAGCGCCAATCAATGAGAGAAGGGGAGGGCATATACTACAGAGACTCATAATTTTGCACATAAGACAGTGAAAATAAGATGACACTTCTTTGTGCCAAAACAGCTCGTTGATGATGCCAACACAATTTATTATTATTAACACTACGAATTATATGCAGAACCCACAATATGTTAATTCCATGGTAAGACGACATTTTACAGTAAAAAAAACTCAAAGCACGTATTAAGAGATTTAGACAGACAATTAACCCCAGCAATTAAGCCAAACATATGGAGAGAAACCTGAAGTAGGGTCATGGCATATGTGATATAGTTGCGCATCCTTCCCTGGCTTGTAATCCGAATCTCATTCTCGTCAATTGGAGTCTCAGCCCTTGGCTTCTCAACTCTGTGGTACCGATCCATCTGCGCAGCCAAGACAGTTATCCGATTTTACAGATGCAAACAAAATCAGTAATCTCCCACTGCTCCAACCCACAAAACAAACAAAGAGACGAACATTGAACAGCATCGAAACATCCTAGAGTATAGAATGAAAAGCTACGAACCAGAAAGAGAAGTAAAATACAGAAAACGAAAGAGAGAGTGCAGAGTGCGATGACAGTCGTCTCCAAAAACAAGCAAAATGAAGCATACTTGAAGCTATGAGGTTCGATCTGAGGACTTACAGCGATTGAAAGTAGGATTATCCGCTCCACAAACGAGAGCCCTCTTCTACGGCTTGTTTCTTCTGTTACGCCCTAAATCGCCAGCACTGGTGTTTCGCCCTTTATATAGTAGCGGCACTATTGCGAAAACTACCCTAACCGACTACTTCACCCGGTCCTATCAAGTTCTCGCTGATTTTCTCTTCTAATATTCCTTTTTATTTTCCAAAATATTTATTTAAATATATAATAAATTTCAAACCTCGTCTTTCGTCAAGTTCATAATTTATATTAATTGAGTTACCATAATGACAATTGAAATAATAATTAAAATTTATAATAAACTTTTGAATTTTGAATTTTTGAGTTCACCCTATTTTAAATTAAAATAATGTTTTAATCAATTAATTTATTCAAATTCACTTATAGATATTAAATTTGTTAGATAGAAATTAAAATCTGTAATTTAATTATGCATTGAATAGTTATTGAGCTGCTACATGTGATAGCTAAATTTTAACTAAATTTCATAATTTGTTCTATTTTTATTTATTTATTTGAATTTACATAATGAAACTGGGGAATATATAATATTAATAACCATAAAGCAAATATTTGTACTCTTCTCCTTATCCATAGGACGTTTTTTATTTTTATTTTTAAACCATTTGGATATTAGGGTATAACTATTAAGTTAATTTAATCTATTGTTTTTGTCACGTGTGAATTTGGTCGATTCGATCATGTTATCACATAAGACCTACAAAAAGTAAGTGCGATGAATATTTAACTGAATAATCTGAGTAAAGTTAGAAAAATAATCGATAGACTAAAAAACTAAAAAGTTAGCCACATTCATAGGCTCGACCCTCTAATCATTTGAGGCGTGTTTCTTAGGCATGGGATTGAGGCTATGCTAAAAGTCTACAGAATGGTTAGAAAAACAAAATAGTCTATGGAAAAATCAAATATATTTTTTTTAAGAAAAAAGAACTATATTTTTTCAAAAAAAAAAAAAATCTAAATATTTGAATTTTTTTGCTTTTGTTTATAGAAAGAACCTTTGAAATCAATTGAATTTTCTCGTAGGGCTACAAAAGTAAATTAAAATATAGACTAAGTTTTAATCTGATTTCGATTTTAAAAGTTCCCATTCATGGGCCAATTCCTACCTTCGGCCCACAGGCTAGCCCCCTAAACCTAAATAAGGCCCATGAATTCCAAGAAAGCAAAGCACGCCCATCAAGGCCTGAATACCGAGCCGAGGGTGCCAATAATGAAGACAACTAAAATTTGGTATCTTATTAGTTTAAGGCCGTAATTGGATTAAAATTATAAAATGTTTTTTCCTTCGAACATTTTAATATAAAACTGGGAAGAAATAAATAAAAAGTGAATCCAAATGGATGAAACCGACATGGAATTTGTGAAATTGAAACAAAGAACAAAGAACAAATCCAAATCACATGAATAATTTCACAACCTAAAAAGAAATACGGCAAAATTAAATTATCATAAAAACCATTCACCAAACATTGCACAGTAGACGAATAGTGGGCTATAAAACAATGGCCTCCAGTGAGTGACCATCAGTCCATAGCCTTCCGTAGGAGAAGCCACTGAAAATCTCAGGCACGCAGTGCAGCGGATTACGATAAGTCAAGGATCCCGTACTAGCCCCTTTTTGTTGGACCACAAAAGAAACTGCCGCAAGGACAAGTGTGCGATTTCAACCTCATCAATCACCAATTACTGTGAACAGCAGAAAGTAACTTCAAGCGGGATGCAATTTGAAATCCTCCGTTCGTTCCTGACACAGAATGGAGCATTTTAATTTTAAAAATATAAACATTCTTGAAGAATGTGTAAACAAAAAGCATGCTCGGATTAACGACATTATCCATTAAAAGGCACAATTCGCAGACTCGGTTAGGCCGCAAAGTTTGCTATTCGAAAATTGCAAGCAAAATAAGTGAAATGAAATGTGTAGCGGCTAAATGCTTAGAGAAGGAACTGTCAAAAACAAGGGGAAGCCTGCCACTAAGAAAAGCATAACCAAAACGTCCACAAGCGTTCACAGAATGCCAAACAGAAAGGCAACAGTCTTTAGCTACGTATTCAAAACATCCTAACTAAAAAGCCTCGCGAATTCTAAGAGCCTACAAGCAATGTTGCGAGATCGAAAGAAAAAACTGCGGGTTAAGTTAGGCAAGACGCAGAAAGTTAGGCTTCCACGACAGCGCTTTCTTTCGCTGGTGTAGCGATGAACCAGTTGAATCCGAATGGATCCTTCAGCTTAGCAACGCGACGGCCGACGTATGAGCCATCGCCTTCTGAAATCTCAGACTCTTCAACAGCTCCAGCACTCACGGCCTTGGATACAGCGGCTGTAATATCCTCCGTTTCCAAGAACAGCACAACTCTTGATTCTAATAATTTTTCGCTGAAAACACAATTAAAGAAAAAAAATCATAAACGATAGGTATGCAAGGATCGGAATATCACAGAATCGAACGAGACGCCATGCAAAGAAAACGACGAACAAGCTGCTAGATGACGCAGAATAAGAGACATACAGATACCGAAGCAAACGTATGAAATGTCGCTTAAGCATCAGATAAACTCGAGGAAAAAACAGAGCTCAATGAGCTTGAGCAGATCTTTCAAAGGGACCATTGAAGAGTAGACAAAAAAAAAAAAAAAAAAAAAAAAAAAAAAAAAAAAAAAAAAAAAAAAAAAAAAAAAAAAAAAAAAAAAAAAAAAAAAAAAAAAAAAAAAAAAAAAACACAACTCAGAAGTGGGGAAAGCAAACAAAAACAACAAACAAATGCAATACAGACTGGTTGATCAGTTCTATCAAAGAAAAGCATAAACGAACAGAGAAAGAAGGCGGGAGAAAACGAGAGAGACTCACTCAGGAGCAGAAGCGTCAGGAACATCAGAGACGAGGAACGAGAAGTTAGAAAGGCTGAGCTCGGCGGAAAGGATAGCTGGAGCTTCTTGCTCAGCCTTGCGTTTCGGATGCACAGTACGACTAACCTCTTCCGCGCCGAATGCAGCCTTGTAAAACACGACAGCATCAGCGGCCTTCGGCACCTCCACGAGAAGCTGCGGCTTAAGAGCCTTGAAACTCAAGGTCTTCTCAGCTCCTCCTCCATTCTGAGACTCGGATTGCGCCATTGAAACGGAAGATTGAAGAACAAGAGAAACAGCCAAAGAATGAAGGAAGAGGAATGGAAGAAAACCCTGAGAGAGAAAACAAAAAGAGAAGACAGTAATGGCGTGAGGGACTACAATCGGTTACTGAGACGCTGCATTTATAGAGGAAAAAAAAGTTAAAGCGGGAACTGGATGGAATGGGCAAAATCGAGGAGTTTCGTTTCAAAAAGTCCCTTTATTTCATGTAATTTACGATTTGTACCCCTGTCCTACTGCTCTTGATATGACCGCTGTACAAATCGTTGTAAGAACTTGTTTTCATCTCTGTACATATATTTTTTAGGAGAAAATATAATATATATTTCATTCCTTCTTTAAGCAGCTTTACTTTTATCCATTATATTTAAGATAATTACATGTACTTAATCTATTTTATTTTTATCAGGTCAGATTATTAAATTAATTTTTGAAAATAACAAAATGAAAATAATTCGAATAAATCCAAAATTTGGGGTCGAAGTTATACGGAATTGAAGCCCATTTATATTCCATGGCCCAGCTTCAATGGTCTAGAAGGCCCATGCCAACCTGCGTTCTTAAAGGCCCAATACGATGGTCTCCAGATTGTTGGGCCGCAAGTCATTTTTTTTTTTAAATTGGGTTCGTTTTCCACTAAGACACTTGTTCTAACCAAGCTAACAAGTCAATCTTGAGAAATTTAAATGTTACCGGCGAATCACACTTTGTAAGAAAATGTTTAGAATACGTGAGGAGGAAACACTTCTGAAAATGATGGGAAGAATTGCACCAAACAATAGCATATAACTAGTTATATCTCCACATTTATTTGACATTTTAACCTTTAAATATATGATTTTAGTGAACAAGACTTCAAATGGAACGGGCAACGGGCATGCCATTGGGATACTTGTCCTGCGGCCATAAGCAACTATTAAATTAAACAAATATAGATTACACTACAGACGGAATGATGCTGAAGAGCAACCCAGAGGCCAAAGCAAAGCACAGAATAAAGAACCCACGGCGGCAAAGAAGGTAATAATCATTTTGCTCGCTTCCAACCTCCGTTCATAAAATCTTCATACCCAGAAGAACATCAACAACAACCAAAAGATTTCTGCATTTCTTTCTTCCCTTTCCGCCATGGGCCTCTGGTTCACCAGAATCCGCGACATTCCAATCGCCTCCTTCAACTACGGCTCCGACTCGACACCCCAAAGCCCTCAAAAGCCGCAATCAATTCCCTCTTACAAGTCCGTTCCGCCGTCGCAGATTGGACCCATCACCGGCCGCCCCTACATCAACATAACCACAATCTACGACCTCCACAAGGAGCTCGGTCGAGGCCAGTTCGGGACTACTTATCTCTGCACCGAGCGGGCCACTGGGCGCAAATATGCTTGCAAGTCGATTTCCAGAAGGAAAATGGTGAATCCCGATGATATAGAGGATGTGAGAAGGGAGATCTTGATTCTTCAGCATTTGACTGGCCAGCCCAACATCGTGGAGTTCAAGGGCGCGTATGAAGATGAGGAAAATTTGCATCTCATCATGGAGCTGTGTTCCGGCGGAGAGCTTTTCGATCGGATCATCAAGAAAGACAGTTACTCGGAGAGGGAAGCGGCGTCCATTTGTAAACAGATATTGAATGTGGTTCATGCGTGTCATTTTATGGGGGTTATGCACAGAGATTTGAAGCCTGAGAACTTCCTCATGGTCAGTGAAGACGACGATTCGCCCATTAAGGCTACGGATTTTGGACTCTCCGTTTTCATCGAAGAAGGTAACTCAGTTTTCGATTATGCCTTCATGTTGCATTGATTTTGCTTGGGAATGAATTGAACTGTGATCTCTTAAGCAAATGGAGTTCTTCTTGGATTAAAAAAATGGCATTCAACTATTAAACCATGAGGGGTACATTGAAAGTCACTGTTGACCAAGTCAACGTAGAGAGTCTGGTCAACCAAGTTGACCACTTCATGAAGCACTGAAGGCTAGCAACATGAAGCCTGAATTCTATTTCTTTTTCTTTTTTGTTTTTATTTCTTGAAGTTTGAGAGACCAAGATGAACGTAAGGCCGTAGTTACTAACATGATATCAGACTTGTGCCCTTAACTTAACCTTGAACAAAGAAGTTGTTAGTCTTGAAGGTGTAGTCAAAAGTGACTCTAAGTATCGAACAAATGGTATAAGTTTGTTTGAGGGCACCAGAGAAAGGAATCAAGCCTCAATTAAGGGGAGGTTGTTCGAAAACTCCATAGGCCCCAAGAGAGGCTCTATGGTATACTTTGTTCGAAGGCAGTATTGTTGGGAGGGAGTTGTACATTGGCTAATTAAGAGGATAATCATGAGTTTATAAGTAAGAAACACATCTCCATTGGTATGACGCATTTTGTGAAAACCAAAAGTAAAGTCACGAGAGCTTATGTTCAAAATGAACAACATCATAACATTGTCGATGATCGTGGTTCCTAACAATTTGGACTAAAACGTTGCATACTAAATTACTATTTCTCAGGCTTGATAACAGCTTTTGTTTGAATGAAAAATGGTTTGTCAGGCAAAACATACAAAGACATAGTTGGAAGTGCATATTATATTGCCCCTGAGGTTCTGCAGCGAAATTATGGGAAGGAGATTGATATATGGAGTGCTGGAGTTATTCTCTACCTTATCCTATGCGGAGAGCCTCCGTTTTGTGGTCGTAAGTAAATTCCTTCACACGATTTAAAATTTAAGGCCTCGTTTGTTAGCGATTTCATTTTTCGTATTCTACCTTTAAGACTCGACTTGTTAGCTTATAGTTGGTTTCGTTTTAGTATTCGCCTTAAAAACGAGTATCTCTTCTAGACTTAGAACCGAGCTAACGAGTTAAAGTATTGTACCCTTATGATTGGAGTTTAATGGAGTTGGTTTTGTTTTCTTCTAATGATTTTGACGTTTGAATTCCATCAGAGACTGAGGATGACATATTAAAAGCAGTTCTGAGTGGCAACCTGAAAATGGAAGACGCTCCATGGCCTTCCATATCCCCTTCTGCCAAGGATCTTGTCTCTAAAATGTTGAGAAGAGACCCGAAGAAGCGGATCACGGCTGCAGAAGCGCTCGGTAAGATATTAGTTATTTAGAAAGCACATGACATATCAAAATCACTCTCGAACATGCTTTAAACCTATTTCTCTCATTGATGGACCAGAACATCCTTGGTTAAAGATCGAGGGCAAGGCCTCCAGCAAGCCGATCGATAGCGCGGTGCTCGTTAGAATGAAGCAATTCAGAGCAATGAACAAGTTTAAGCAGCTTGCTCTCAAAGTATATTACATATTTTTACATAATTTACATTTACCTTTTCTATGATCTCTGTGTTAGAGATATGCAATGTTGTTGGTAGGTAATGGCAGAAAACCTTTCAGAAGAAGAATTAAAAGGTCTGAAACAAATGTTCAAGAACATAGACACTGATAGAAGTGGTGCCATCACATTAGAAGAGCTGAAAACCGGTTTGTCGAGGCTCGGTTCGAGGCTTTCCGAACAAGAAATAAAGCAACTAATGGATGCGGTAAGAACCAAAAATCTGTCCTCTGTTCATGCATTGCCTATTAATCCTAATACATGAACAAGTTACATTTCTGCTTGGTTAGGCTGATGTCGACCGAAGCGGGATGATCGACTATGGCGAGTTTATTACTGCAACGATGCATCGACATAGGCTTGAGAAGGAAGAGAACATATACAAGACCTTCCAGTTCTTTGACATAGATAAAAGCGGGTTAGTAATGAAGTATTGATAACCACTTGCATTGGGAAGGTGATATTGATACACAAGATGCTCATACTTTCTTTCAGATTTATCACAAGAGATGAGGTCAAACAAGCCATGATTCAGTATAAAATGGGAGATGAGGACTCCATGGATGAAATTCTCGATGACATCGATATCGATGGAGTACGCTTCACTCTAATAACTATCTTGTTTTTAGTTTCATATTTTTAAAAATTGTGCTGGTTTCCTCACATTATTATTCAAAACGAAGATAGTTCTATATCGATGGAGTATGCTTCACTCTAATAACTCTTTTTTTTTTCTTTGTTTCAGGATGGAAAAATCAATTTCGACGAGTTTGTAAACATGATGACCAAAGGGACCATGGAACCAAAAATTAACTAAATTACAGTTTACAGCATGAAAAAAGGAACAAAAAAGAGGGGGGAATTATGTTTATTATTATGTATAGATAATTATTTAGATATGCAAAGTCAATAACGTCCCTTATACCATTAAGTTTTCCGTTCTTCAATGTAAATTTTTTAGTCAACCCCAAGAAATATTTATCAAATATATTTTATATTTTTACAGTTAAAATTTTATAAATTTCTTATGTATTGCTTTATTTTATAAAATTTTAAGGAAGAAGAAATACAATTTCTACCCTTCACAGTATCATTTTTTAAAAAATATGTATGAAATTATTTTCTCACGGATCTTCACATGAGGAATTAAATGAAATTGTTGTTTGCAGTAAAACTTGAGCAAATTTGAAATATTTATTTTTAAACAGAATTATTGGAGAATTTTTTAGAAATTTAGAAATTAGGGCAATCAATTTCACGGTAGATCTGTGATTTGTGAGGTTGAAGGTTCGCTGCAAAACCCTGCAAAAACCCAACGCCAAGCCGAGTGTCTGTGCAGCCGGAGCGGACTGAAACCTCAACGGAGAAGAATCCAGTAATGGCTCTGTTCAAATCGAAGCCAAATCTTTCACCCTTTCTGTCTTCTCTCTCGCCGTTCTTACAGAATCACCGTTTATTTTCATCTTCCACTTCAATTTCCGAGTCTCAACTTCAAGACGAGGACGCGAGCAATACTACTCCGAATGCCTCAAAGCCTGTCCTCTTACCGGAAGAAATCCAGGCCGCCGGTAAATTCCATTCCCTAATTAAGGAATACTATCGAAGAAATCCCAGTCCCGATCCCACTCCACCAAGCCCTAACTTCACCATTTCTGCTCTCTCCAACGAACTATCCCAAATCTCACCTGTCCATGCCGTCTCTCCGGCCGTCGTTCGTTACGTCATCGAGAAATCTGGTGGCGTCCGCCATGGCATCCCCTTCCTCCAAGCCCTCGCGTTCTTCAACTGGGCGACGGCAAGCGAAACGTTCGACCACTCTGCACTGCCCTACAACCAGATGATTGACCTAGCCGGTAAGGTGAGACAATTCGGATTAGCGTGGCATTTGATTGATCTGATGAAAGCTAGAAATGTAGAAATTACTGTTGAAACCTTCTCGATTCTTGTCCGGCGGTATGTGAGGGCTGGATTGGCGGCGGAGGCGGTTCATGCGTTTAATCGCATGGAGGACTACGGCTGCAATCCTGACAAGATTGCTTTCTCCATTGTTATCAGCATTCTGTCCAAGAAGAGAAGGGCAACTGAAGCCCAGTCATTTTTTGACAATCTGAAACATAAATTTGAACCTGATGTTATTGTTTACACTAGCCTGGTCCATGGCTGGTGTCGAGCCGGTGATATCTCAGAGGCCGAGAGGGTGTTTAAAGAGATGAAGATGGCAGGTATTAGCCCTAATGTTTATACTTACAGCATTGTGATTGATGCATTGTGTAGATGTGGCCAAATTACTCGTGCCCATGATGTTTTCTCTGAGATGGTTGATGCTGGTTGCAATCCCAACTCAGTTACATTCAACAATCTTATAAGAGTCCACGTGAAGGCTGGTAGAACAGAGAAGGTTTTGCAAGTGTACAATCAAATGAAGAGATTGGGTTGTGCTGCTGACATAATTACTTATAACTTTCTTATTGAGACTCATTGTAAGGATGATAATCTTGGAGAGGCTACAAAGGTCCTCAACTCTATGGCTAAGAAAGGCTGTACCCCGAATGCGTCGACCTTTAATCCCATATTTAGGTGTATCGCGAAGTCGCATGATGTAAATGGTGTTCATAGGATGTTTGCTAGGATGAAGGATCTGGGTTGTAAGCCAAATACAGTGACGTACAATATCTTGATGCGGATGTTTGCAGAATCGAAATCTGCTGATATGATTTTCAAGTTGAAGAAGGAGATGGAAGAAGAAGAAGTTGAGCCTAATTTGAATACTTACCAAGTACTGATATCGTTATATTGTGGGATGGGGCATTGGAACAATGCCTACAAGTTCTTCAGGGAAATGATTGAGGAGAAATGCTTAAAGCCCAGCATGCCCATCTATGAGATGGTTCTGCAGCAGCTGCGAAAGGCGGGACAGTTGAAGAAGCACGAGGAATTGGTGGATAAGATGGTCGAGAGAGGTTTTGCCTCACGGCCCCTTTAGAGTACCTGGCTTCTTTTATACTCGAAGTTGTAGTTACGTTGGCAAAGTGTCGACCGACACAAGAAGAAGTTAAAGCCCCATTTGATAACTATAAGTATCACCCAGCAGTTTGTATGGCTGGAGTCATTGCTTTGATTTTGTTAAGATCCTATGTGAATTGGCCTGAGGCTGCAAATTGCGTGGGCTGGGAGAGCTGTCTACGACAATATTAGAAGGCAAAAGGTTCCTAGATTAGATACTTAAAATTAGGAGGGGACAAATTACAAGGGGCTGTTTGGTTCTCTTGAACCTCTTCTTAAGCTTCTTTGTTTTGTTCTCTACTAAAATGTAGACCAGGCTTTTGGAATTAAAAGATCTGTTTTTGTTATTGAAATTTTGCAAGGAATTCAAACGGCTGTAGATTATTGTTTTCAGAATCCAATCATTTCATCAAGACAATGTTCAACTTTGAGTATCAATATCATACTGAAGTAACAGAGATTTGAAAAGAATACTGAATGATGTCGGTGATGACAATCATTATTAGTTACCCTGCATATCCAACATCTCCTCTAAACGCTTCAATCTCTCTATTCCTTCACTGAGCAGAAACCTTACTTTCTGTCTCTCATTGCAGCCGCGGTTGTTCTCCATTTCTTGTCTGATTGCAAGTCTCAATTCCTCTGTTCAAAGCAGACAATTTCAAAACTAACGAAATCCGAAATGAAACCAGGGCGAATTCAAATGACATCTGAAATCATGACAAGAAAAATGCATAGAAAGTGGATGTTCGTCATCAAAACAATACTTCATTGTAAGATCATAATCAAAAGCTTAACCTCGAGCGTGGACAGGAGCTTTTTGAGCAATTCTTAAAGCCTGCCTGTACAGTTTCAACACTCTTGCACGGAGAATAAATTCCTGTAAATCGAGGGAGAGAACCATGGCGAATTCTCTTCCTGTACAACATTTCTACAATGTTAGATATAGCGGAACAATTCGACTGTATACAAAATTCTTCCACCAGTAAAATTCCAACGTGGAGAAATTTATAGAACAAATAATCGAAATCTCTTGGCTCTGAAGACTAGTTGGACAAAATGAATATCTTCTAGCAGAATCATATCAAACAAAAGCTAGGGCAAAACGTAAACGTAAATTTCTTCCAGAACGTACGGACTTACCGAGAGGACAAATAGGTGGTGCTACTACCTGTTCGTCAAGCCCACGGTGGATCAAACTGAAGTGAATTCCATTTCTGGTTCAATCTGACGTTAACTATTTCTGTTGTTCAGTTCTGGGTTCGAAGGTCATGAAGGAAGACGACGATCTGGAGAAGGACTGGAGTTGGGCCAGTGACTCCAGAAAACTGGGCTTTCCTGGGAAACGATTTGGGCTGAAGCCTGGTATTCGCCCAGTAGGACTCCAGGTTAGTAGGCCCAAAATTTTAACTGGGCTCGATGGCCCTCTTTTTCTTTTTTAATAAAATCAAAATATTGGCTTAATTTTTTTTTTGATTTCAAAATCTGATTTGATTTTTGAAAGCACGGGTAAAGAACAAATAAATAAAATAATAAAAATAGTATTTATATGGTTGATTTAAATAAAAAAAAACAATAAAAAAATGTCATTTACGAAGTACGGAAATTGACTAAACCAATTCAATTTGTTTCTTTCACCAGCCAAACCCCAATAATTAATGATAAAATTAAAATACTTAGATTAGATAAAGTCAGTGATTAACAAATGCAACCAAGTCAAAGATGGGAGCTCAAATTGGCTCCCCTTGCATCTTCCTTCTTTGGTCCAAATAAAATACTCATTTACTATTAACATCCACTTTATATTAAAATTAAAAACACACATTAATTAAATGTGACGTTACTTACATTTGTGAATTCCGCCTGCTTTTATTTAAATTCGACTAATTCTTCCGTATTAAGTATATATTTTTAATTATATAAACATGTCATTAAATTCACTCAATATTGGCCTCTTGATTATTTAAAAAATAAGGCCTCTGTGTCGTACGATATTAGGAATATTATCACTCTATACTCAATTTGTGATATAATTTCAAATGACAAACATAAATACTGCACAGTTTCCCAGATTTATTTTCCAAATAGTTAATAAAACCATGGTGGAGGAATGTTTTTGTAATATATAACAATTTGAAGGTAGCCGGAAAAATATAACTCGGTCAGACCTTTCACGACGTTTGACCAAAGCAGCGTCGACGAACCTTTCTTAATTCTTCGTTAATTAAATCTTAACTGACAATATATATAATTCACGCCCAGAAATTGAGACTCAAAATTGAACCCAGAAACATAAATCATGAAGCTTTTTCCCAGAGCGGCCTCCGCCTTCATTTTCCACAACCCGCTGAAAAGTCCTGGCAGGGAGAACCGCCAAGTCGCCGGACGAGGGTTTTCCAGTCCAGTAAAGATCTCGATCATACCAAAAGAAGCGCAGTCCAAATCGAATAGTTCGGGATTCCAGACGCCGGAGCCAACTTCGCCGAAAGTTTCGTGCATCGGCCAAATCAAGCACAAGAAGAAGATGAAGGAAATAGCGAGGAATGCTGCGGCGGCGGCGGCTAAAATTTCCCAGCCGAAAAAGCGGCATCCGCCGTCGGTGATTAAGAGAATTTTGACCGGTGGGAAAATACTCGGGAGGGCAAAATCAAACGATGTGGCGGCACCGTCAAGAAATCACCGTGGTGGTGGGAAGCCACCGCTGCCGAAGAAAGCGCCAAGGTTGAATCAGATGAAGCGATTCTCGAGTGGACGTGACACGTTGGCGAGTTTTGATTGGACGGCGCAGATTGTACCAGCTGACTTGGAAGGAGAGGAGACGGAGGGCGATTGGCGGAGTCCGGTGTCGGAGGCAGTGTGGATCGGAGAAGACGTGGGCCCACTGCAACCCAGAAAGGAGGTGAATATATGGAAGAGAAGAACCGCCGTTCCTCCCACACCTCTTCAACTCAATTCCAGTTGATATTTCAGTTTTTTTTTTTTCTTTTTGGTAATTAACGCCCAAAGAATATGAACATCTATATTTTACAAGGCCCATTTACCCATATTTCCAATTGGGCCCTAAAATTAAACAAGAAGGGCCTAAAACAAAGCCCACTCGGAACAGATATAAATCTACAGATTCCTTTGTCAGTGATTCAAAATAGATAGAGAAAATGACAGAAATGAATGAAATAATTGATGGGTAGTTGTGTAATAGTGTCTTCTGTGTAGGGGAAGTCAATGCATATAATAAGCTATTATGTTATCATACGGAATCTTTTGCGTCCTTTCAAGTTAAATGCATGACTCAATCCATTTACTTTCTTTCAAGTTAAATGCATATATATTATATGCATGCAATTCTAATCATATATCATAAACAAAATATTTTTGAAGAGGAGAGGAACGAACCTGAAATTATGGTTGAATGGATGGAAATATATGTGATGGAGAAGAGAAAATTGAAAAGGAAAAAGTAGACTGAGATATTGACACGGCTCAATCAGATAGACGTAAAGAAAGTAAGAAAAAGTTAGATCTGAGTGAACCGGGCCAATATCGGAGTAGACTATTTCAAACATGAAGAGGGAGAGGGAGAGGGAGAGGGAGAAGAAGGGATGAAAGGGGAAAATGAGAAGGTGGGCTTATGAAGAAGGGATAAAAGGGAGGGAGGAGGCAGAGTTAGGTTAGAGATTGGGTGGCATTAAAAGCGCTTTCACTCTCAAACTTGAACACACACCGGACCAAAGCATTGAATTCCAAATTGTTTTTCTGCGTGTTTTCCGTCTCCAATAAAAGGGAATGCAGAGGATATTAAATAAAAGGGAATCGTTTCGTTGGGCAACACGCAGCGCCATATCTATTTTCAAACATATCGGTGCCCATGGCTCGCACCCTGCCTGCATGCATGCCTTTGCAATAACTCCATGCCTCTCTCAAACCTACCCAACAACCAAACCGAATCTTCTTCCCTTTTTCTTTTTCTTATTATCTCAAATTGCATAAAAAAAAAACACATGTATTTACTCCAAATTATATTAATATTTTGTTGCGATAATGGATTTGTACCTTCTATTAATACAGATGTATGTATATATAAATCTCAAACTATAAAATATATATATATATACATATATTCAAGCATACTCTTGAAATAAATAAATAATAATAATCAGAATCTCATATTGACAGCGGAAGATTCCGATGAATAAAGTTGAGGCGATTATGTCATCGTTATTTAATACTTGCAAGTCTTGTAAACGTGAATCCTATTTGTTTTAAATAATACAACTGGAAATGGCACTTTGAATAAACAATTGGCGTAGTATATATTTTATAATAGAGTTTGGGAAATAAACGAATAAAATAAATGACAAACTGTGCCCCCATTCTGTGGGAGAGCCAATCCAGTTTGAGGAATTCAAAAGTGGTTTGGATGTACATTGCAGCAGTTGAGGGGTTGTTTGGTCCATTTACATGCAGCTTCCGTCTGATTCCATTATTCTTAATATTTTAACTTCATACCTTTTAAGAGGTAAGAAAGCGGCCGAAATTAGGGGAAAAGAATAGTTGGAATCAAAACATAATTTTGAATATTATATAAACTAAATTATAATATAATAATAAATTGGAATTGTCGCTTTCTAAAATAAAAAAATAAAAAATAAAAAATTCTGAAAATAATTAAATAGAAAATCGAATTATTTTTTGAAATAAATTTGTTATGTATATAGTTTGCGCATAAACTTTGAAATCCCAACCAAGTTCATTCTTGCCCCCTCAGTGGCCTCCCCAGTGCAAAACAAGAATGGTCAGCCAAACATCAATCCATATTTTTAAATTGAAGCTCTTAAATAGCCTTTTTTAATTTTAATTTGAAATTTCTAAATTATCCATATTTTTAATCTTATTTTTTTCAAGGGAAAATATTTTAATATCTAACTTTAAAAGAAAAAAGAAAAAAAAAAGGGTGGTTTGTTGATTGAAATATATAATACATTTTAATTAAAAAGATAATAAATATTAGTTTGTAGAAAACAAGGAAGGAGTAATGTGGTCAATTTGTAATATTATTAGTTAAATGGGGAATAAGGAAATTGGGTGGATTTATAAAAGCGGTGATATAAGCAAAACACGGAGGGGTTTTGTTAGAATCCACGTCGACAAGCGCAACGAAGGTGGAAGCCCAATGCGCCACGACCTAACAGCTAATACCTTTTTTTTTTTTTTTTTTTTTTTTTTTTTTTTTTTTTCTTTTTTCTCTTATATTTTTAAATCTCGAGTGAAAATTTCAATAACAGAGCAAAGAGAGGGAAAGAAAACGACCAACACAGAGCGCGAGGGCGCCAAATTCCTTACCAACTTCCAATCGTTTTTTTCTCCTACTTTTTCGCCTCTATCGTCACTATAATTCTCGCCCTTGTTGCTTCACTGAGCAATCGGTTTGTTGTTCCTTGAAATTTGCCACTCGCTGATCTTTAACGGGATATATCGTTTCAATTTCGTAACAGTTTGTTTTGATTTCGTTTTGTGCGGTTCTTCTTTCTCTCATGGCTATGGACGATACTGAGAGCTGTTGTAGTAGACCGGTGGATGATTTTTCGACTCAGACCTGGAGACAGAAGCAGAAGGTTGGTGTTTACGTCGAAGTTCTTCGTCGACTCAGACTGTCGCATGAGGCGGAGACCAGCTTTCCTGGTTTTGAGGATGAACTTTGGGCTCATTTTCATCGCCTTCCTACTAGGTATGCTACTTGAAATCTATCTTTAGTCATTTTGCGCTTCTTTGTTCACGCCAGAGCTGAATCCGTTTAAAGCTTTTCTCCTATTACTTCGTCGTGTACACTGGCGTCTTAACGACTGTTTATTTTTCGTAAGTGCACTAAGATGAGAGAAAAACTATTTTTCATGGATTACGCCATCGATTTACGGCGGTTGGATCACCGAGGAAATTGGAGAAGGATTAAAGTAACGGGAAAGTTTATTTTTATTTTTGTTTTTGTTTTGTGTTATGCTAATTTTCTTGCTTGTCATGGCTAATTTCCGTACATGTAAAGAGATTATACTTCTTAGATGTGCTTGTGAAGAAAAAGGAAAAAGAAGTTGTGGCGTGAAGCAGTAATTGTTCGATAATATTCTTGTGTTTGTGCGGGGGTGTTCTTTTATATATATATATATATATATATATATATATATATATATAGAGAGAGAGAGAGAGAGAGAGAGAGAGAGAGAGAGAGAGAGAGAGAGAGAGAGAGAGAGAGAGAGAGAGAGAGAGAGAGAGAGAGAGAGAGAGAGAGAGAGAGAGAGAGAGAGAGAGAGAGAGAGAGAGAGAGAGAGAGAGAGAGAGAGAGAGAGAGAGAGAGAGAGAGAGAGAGAGAGAGAGAGAGAGAGAGAGAGAGAGAGAGAGAGAGAGAGAGAGAGAGAGAGAGAGAGAGTATATTAGCTTCACTTGGCTAAATCAATACTGTACTTATTTGTTCAAGATATTATTCTATTGAATTTGACCTCTTCAGGATATGTAGAGTAAGAAATATATCGACGGGAAGTCATAGCCAAAAACTTGTAGAAATAAAATTCTTGAAAAATTTAAGAAGCGTGAAAGCATTATCTATATGGTCATGTGGCATTTCTATTTTAGGATATTGACTCAAAAAAGTCATGCCAAAATGTGTTCTCTATCGCTTATCTTAAGAGAATAGAAAGCACTAGTGTGATCCATGTGGAACTTGGTTCGGATCTGCTCGACACTTTTCTCTAGCTCCAGAAAGTAAGATTTACTTTTGCCGTCTGAGAATTATAAAGACCTCGTGGTATGAATATTTGGTAAATATAATGTCAAAGGTATGCTATGGACGTCAACGTGGAGAGGGCTCAAGATGTTCTCATGCACAAAAATCTTCTCTTCATGGCACATGATTCTGCTACTCGTCCTGCAATTGATGTCCGTCTCGTACAGGTAGTGACCCTGAGCTCCTAATTATTGTTCTAAATTTTGATATGACAGAGAAATCAGATTTCTTTTTTTTTATCTCTTGCTATTTACATGATTAAGTAATTTCCTTCTAATGAACTTTTTGCAGTATTATCTTGACTGAAGGGTATTTTTCATTTAACTTCTCAGTGTTCTGAAGTTTAATATTTATAGAGTCTGTAGGAGAAATCTATTTTGTTCTTATCTGTAAAATGCTAAGATAAAAATTCGTCACTCTGTAGGTTCATTCATCTCCTGGCACAAACTCTGGCAACTATGTACATTCAAACTTGAAGGAAAAAGTGGACCAGCGGTTTTCTGATTATGACAGCAATCAGAGGCATGGTTAAGTGAAGATTTGAACTTTGCTGTATGTTTGGGACTTCAAGGATATTATAACTACATATTTTTTATTTTCATTTTTCTGCATATATAAGCAGACAACACCCCCCACCAGCATTTGGTTCAACAACAGAGGTCGAATCTGGTTTTGCAATCAGCCAATTACATGATATAAATCAGCCTGACACTTTATCCTGGTAAAATAATGTTCTGAAATCGGAGTAGTTTTTAAGGACATGAGTCTATGGTCTGTTCATACAGTTGTCCTTTTTTATCTGTACTTTCGATGCTTCATATCATAAACTTAAAATTCTGTACTACCAAAATTTCATTGATTTGTCCATGTCACTTCGATAAGAATATAATGGCCTCTCCCTATTCTTAGTACTACAGTTTTCTTCTTGGGAAAAAGTAATCCTCTCTCCCCTTCTTCTCTTGGTAAAGGAAAAAGGGTTTAATTCTTCTTTTCTTGGAATAATTTAATTTATTCTGCCTGTGGATTGGTAAACAATGAAAATTTATAGATGCCCACGCTCTTTTTCTCAAGCAAGATTCGAATGCTTTCAGGCCAATGCATGAAATTACAATATCAACAATTGACAAGCCAAAACTACTCAGTCAGGTAGCCTCTCCCTTAATTTTAAAATTAATTTTTGTATAGATTCAACTAGCTTCTTTCAAAAGATTTTCTGACACACATTTTGTAGTCTTTAGACTGCACCAAGTTTATTTGATTTAGAGATCCACTCTTCAAATGTACTCTAGACAGTGGAGAATGTGGAGCATCTATATGGGTGAAGAACGTGCACTAGTAAAAAATGGTCATTATTATTTTAGGAAATATTGTACTTGGTTTAGCATTTATGCTTTCTGTTAATGTTGCTTATATTTGTAGCACCATGTTTTGAAATCAATTTGCTGTTACGATTTATTTTAGTTAAATATGTGATTAGACGTCATACATTCATAACAGAAATAACTTTTTCAGTTGACGTCCTTACTTTCTGAGATTGGGCTGAATATTCAAGAAGCGCATGCTTTTTCAACAACAGATGGCTTTTCCTTGGATGTTTTTGTAGTTGATGGTTGGGCAATTGAGGTAATCTGGCTCCTCTTCCAAAGCTTTTCATTGTCATCTTCATATAACATCGATTAGAATATGGAGAAGAGATTGCAGATGTTTTAGTACAGAATGCTCGAGTATTTTTTGTAAAACATTGTTACCTTTCCCCTCTATACAAATTGATTTTTGACATGGAGTTTTGAAATATATAGGATACCAAACAGCTAAAGGATATACTAGCTGAAGAAATATCAAAGATTCAGGTAGCTGCTGATATTCTTGCTAAAGGTTAAATTGCTATGGATGGTTATACTTCGTCTGATCATGTTTTGAATTCTTATTAGTTACTAATAATAGAATAGTGTTGCTTACTTATTTTCTTGTTTTATCATGTACGTGATGCATCTAATAAGTTGGGTTATACAGAAAAGACATCCTCTATTTACACCTTGGAGCATTTCCCCAACTGGGAAGAAAGACAAAATTGGAGTCAAATTCATCACAAATTATGTCAACATTCCACGTCACAAAGTTGGTGCATGGGAAATTGATGCGAGTCTGTTAATCTATGAGAAGAAAATTGTTTCTGGATCTTTTAGTGACTTGTGAGTTTACTTATAATTTAGGTAATGCACTATTTGTGTTCGGATGCTTGTTGCAAAATGTGGTGTTAATGATGTAGGTATAAAGGCACTTTCTATGGTCAAGCGGTGGCTATTAAGCTTCTAAAAGATGGAAGCTTGAATGAGGCTGTACGGCGGGAATTTGCTCAAGAAATTCATATCATGAGGTTTTTATATCCTGGCTTAATTTTCCACAATGCTGCTATCGTTCTCTCATTTTTCTGTTTTTAATATCTTGCATGTTCTCTTCATTTACAATGATTATTGTGATTTGATAGTTTGCTAATCAGGTGATCTTTTCTCCATTCTTATGCTGTGTAGCTTAATTTTCCACACCGCTATTATCTGTTTTTTCATTTTTCTGTTTTTAAGATCTTGTATGTTCATTTCATATACAAGAATATTGTGATTTGATACTCTGCCAATTAGGTGATCTTTTCGCTAAAATATGGCATTCCTATCAGTATGATTGGCATATGTCTCTGGACTCTACTATTATTAGTTTATCTTTGTGCTTCAAAATCTAAACTAATTCGAGGAGTAAAATATACCTGGGTCGAAGAGTGCCTGTGGATGGTGGAGAATCTCAGCGCTTAAGTAGTTCCTTCTCATCCCCTCTTGTTTCTAAAATTTGTAGAAATCTTCGGCATAAGAATGTTGTCCAATTTATTGGTGCATCTACCAGACCTCCAAGCGCTTTTATTGTTACTGGTAATCTAATTACACATTTCGTTGATATAAGACTGATGAGTCTGGTTTGCATGTATGATAATGTGTACATTATATGCCCATGATTTGTAGAATACATGCCTGGTGGAAGCATGCATGACTTCTTACATAAAAAAAAGGGCGTTCTTAGTTTTCCTTCCTTACTAAGAGTGGCAGTTGATGTGTCCAAGGGAATGAACTATTTGCATCAAAAGAATATCATCCATAGAGATCTCAAAGCTGCAAATCTTTTGTTGGACGAAGATGGGGTAAGAAATAAATTTTTTGACATTTAACTTGGTGATCTTTTGATAAGTCATCATAAGACGTACTTGATTACTTCCCAAGTCATTTTGGCTTATTGTTTTCTGTTAGTTTCCACGATCATGCTTCCTGCTATTCAATTTGGTGGGAATATTATGCATCTTCATTTCATAACAATTGATCTGGTGCACTCACAGGAATAACGCTCTGATTTCCGGTTAGATTTAATGGGAATGCGTCTGATCTTACCCATGCAATACTTTCACTTTATTGGTCACTTTCAATTTTATGATCAATACTATTTAGCCGCCTTGTTCTCTATGATTTATGTGACAACGATAACCCATTATAATGTTAATAATAGAATAACAAAAGGCATTGTTCTGAGCTTTGCATCTGTATGTAATTGATTTTTCACCCTTAAATTGACATTCAAATAAGAGCGTGAATAAAGTAGAGTGGGTACAAGGTTTGAGCCTTTACATGTTTCATCGACACATTTGACTGGCATTACTCTGTACTGCAGGCTTTGAACTTGTATTTGAATCCAATGATTTTCCTTTTCTATAATAAACATTTATAAGCATAATCGTTATTTGAATTTGCGGATTATCTTTTGTCAATCCTAGTGTACTAAGTCATCTCCTGGAGTACCCATTCTCAAGTGTGCCTCTGTTTTTTTTTTTTTTTCCTTTTTTTGAACTCTATCAGATTGTTTTTTTATTTCAGTCCCACCTTTAAACCAAAATGCTTGACAGGTTGTCAAGGTTGCTGATTTTGGTGTTGCCAGAATGCAATCTCAATCTGGTGTGATGACTGCAGAAACTGGAACATATCGTTGGATGGCTCCAGAGGTTTGTATTCTGCGAATATATTCACCCTACGATTGACATCAGGCGCTCCAATTGTAAGTTTGAGTTTTCAAGAAAGACCTAACGGATCAGAGTTCCATGTACCTAGTCTTGTCGTTTTCTCATATGAGATACATGCTAACAAGTACTCTGCAGCACCAGCACGGCAATCGTTACTAGGAAGTTTTAGGACGTGCAATAGTTGTTTTTAGAACTATCAAAAGGAACTGAGAAAGAAAAAACTTGTTCTCCCCGTGGACATTTGTCATGAATGATTTCTAGTTATTTTGATTACTTTTGAACTTGGGATCATAGAACTCTTCGAAGATATGTTTCCATTCTCAATTCCTTGCTATTTCAAAAGGAAATGATATTGGCATATAATCCAGCCATGATGCCAATAATGTAATTTTTTCTCGATGTGGTAGTTTTTCCTCGCTCTTTTGACGTTTGGATGTTTGTGGTTGGTGAATGCAAGGTTATTGAGCACAAACCATATGATCATAAAGCTGATGTTTACAGCTTTGGGATAGTGTTGTGGGAGCTGCTTACAGGGCAGGTAAATCCTTTTCTTCTGTTTTGAAATATAATTTCTTTTCCTTGTGTCCTTTCTAACCATCTTTTGGTTGCTTTGTGTCCGGAATGTCAGCTGCCTTATGATAACCTAACTCCGTTACAAGCAGCAATGGGCGTGATCCAGAAGGTATATTTCCTCATTCGTACAATATTTTGTTAAAAAATGAAATGGACCATTTTGTTTCGATTCTTCCCCTGCTATCCATCCCCATCTCATCGTCCTCTTTTTTCTGTCTTAGTAAGCATAACATTCAGTTTTGAACTGCAAGTCATGTAGATCTTGTACTAGCCGAGAGAAATAAACTGCACTAATCTTTGAGGCATTTCATTAAGGAAATTCCACTTGTTCCGTCTAGCTTGCAATTGTAATTAATTAGAATTGACAGGCAACTCTAAGTCAACAATTTAACGGTTAGAAACATTCTATGAAGAAACAAGAACATATTCATAATTTACATCTCTACAAAGCTTTCAAGTAATGTCGGTAGATTAATAGTGATGTTGGAAATATTCAAGTGCACTTTCTCATCCACATGACTTCAAATTACAAGTAGTTGGGAAAATGAACTTCAGGGTCTGAGGCCTAAGATTCCGAGGCATGCAAATCCAATGATCGTGGACTTGCTTGAGAGATGCTGGCGGCAGGATCCATCTTTGAGACCTGAATTTTCTGAAATTACGAAACTTTTGCAGCAAACCCTTAAGTAGGTAGGGAAAAGTTCTGCTGAAACTGTTCAAACTTATTGCTTACAAGGGGACGTTTTCAGGCACCTTACGTTCCTGGAACAGATTACATAATAGAAAATTGCGGAGTGGCAGGGCTCATCTGGAAGGCGGCCAAAATCTTGGGCAGGAGCAGAGCGTTTTATGGTGGAGCGAGGAGGTTACCACTCCTAACTACATGCAATTATCTATCCTTAACTTAATGCTGTGAATTCACATCTACATTGCTGTAAAATATGAAACCTTTTAGATTGAGTAATAATGACTTGACAAGGTATTGGATTTAGATATGATATTTGTTGTTAAATGCGAACAAAGTCTCCCCTTGACTCCACAGAAAATATTATATATTATGGATATACAAGTGAAAGATTGTATGTGTTGGATCGATATGCTTTGGATGAATTTTGATTTTCTTCAAGTTGTCATTATTTTCTTTCAAAAAGTAGAGATTGAGCAAAATTCTATCATACACTGCACTAAAAATAATCGAAGAATAAAAATATGATAACGAAATGTGCGTTCATGATATTTTTAATTGGCTCATGCTTTACAACTTTTCTGGTTTGTCGCACATTGCGGTTCAGAGTGGGGATCCAGTCCCACATCTGTAATAATGGCAAAGAACTGTCTCACATCCACACAATTTACACGCGCACACACACACACATATAAATGGAGATCGTGAAGATGCGGAGATTCGCGATCTTGTGCATGTTGAAGATGTGGGGATCAGAATTCCTGCGACATCGAAGAACTTGAAGCCTGCGATCAAGAAGAAAGTAAACGAGATGGGGCATCGCCACATTTCATGGTACTCTTTCTTGTTGCAGTGGTATATGCAACCATAAAAAGTGAACAGTTGATAGCTTTCTGACCAATTTTTTGCTTACCACATCACAACGAGAAAACTTCTTGATGATAACTCTCGACTTTCTATGATCTAATTTTTGTTTTTCCAGTATAAATAATTTCTAAGTATTAGAAGCTTTATCCAACCTGAAAATTCGGTCCAAATGATAGACTGAAACAACAGCTTGTTGCAGGTGCATTTCAAAGAATTCCAATGAGGCATTCTAGGAGAAAACGCCGTGTCTTTCACGGCCTCAACAAACGCGAATGAATACACGCTTTGGTGGATGTTTCCTAACACAAACTCAGTAAGGTAGAGTTCGCTTAACAATTTTTGTCACTTGATTTGAGCGAATGACTTGTAGGAAATTTAGCTTGTGTTCTATTTATGTGATGATATGCCAAATGTCTACATGATTAGCAAATTCATTTTGTTTTTAGACTACGAAACCCAAATTCTATAACTTGGACTCAGTTCAACAATCTTAAGATTACGTAGTAATCAGCATTTTGATAAACAAAGAAACATAGGATTGAAATTGTGAAGTAGGCACTCACACGCCCACCAAAAGGGCAAATTCAGATTTAGCAAAGTGGAATGACACCTCCCCCTCTCTTAAGAGAGGCTGCAAGGTTTGAAGTGAAAGGCTCTTGACCTAATCCGATTGCAGAAGTGGCTTTCTCACTTGAAGAGATATTCTAATAATCATTACACGACTCTTGTTGACGAAAATTCTAACGTTCATGTGAAATATATGATAACTGTTTCTTACATTCACTCATTTGCTTCTGTGCCTTTGTTTACTTATTTTAAACCATGATTGTTAATATTCGAATATTGTAGCACATGACACAGAAGAAGCCTCTCTCTCTCAGCCTCATTTGGTTGGCTTCATCATGACCACTGAAACAAAAACTAAAAGGGCACATTTCTCTGGCACTTTAAAGCTGAAAGTTCTAACATTCTTGATATTTGTCAATGTAAATGGTTTAAGCAGAGCATAGTATGAGAATTCCAATTGACATTGTAGTGTGTAGCAGCAGTTTGAGGCCAAGCACTTGGATATAAGAACCCATGATTTGCCATGTAAAGTTAGGAGGATATGATACAGAGTTTATATATCATATAACTTTGAGAAGAGACCCAAAAAAAGAACCTAAACTGCTGAATTCTCTTCCTTCTTTGTTACTCTCCATGTTTTGAATATTTAGTCGCCTGAATATCAGCAGTTGCCTGCCTCATCTTCTCCTTGTACTCTTTCAACTCTCTCTTGTATCTTTCCTTGTCTTTCAGCCCAATGTTTTGATAAACCTATAGGAGCAGAGACAACCATTTGATCAAACCCACAAAAAGTCAAGAACTGTTGGAACCTTGGTAAAAAGCTAGACAGACATACCATCCTTTCTTCAGGACTTAGTTTGTTCCAAGACTCTCCAATCATCTTGGTGAACTCCCTCTCTCTGTTTGGGTACAGAGATTTGAGCTTGTAATGCTTCTCTGCAAAGAAGAAATTGTACCCACTTCTGTTCGGTTTTGGGTGGTTAGGGTCTGCCTTTCTCCGGCGTCTCCGGTGTCGTCGACCAGCGTGTCTCTGTCTGCCACCAGTGTAAGGTATAATGGCATTTGTAGACTGAGGCCGTAGATTAGACGGGACTGGCTGATCTGGATGGTAAAGTACTCCTCTAAGAACCTCGGACCCCAATTTCACAGTCACTAGGTAACCACAGTCGAATTTCCCATCAATTGTTCCAGTAACTGAAAAACATCAACCACTTAGGTTAAAAAAAAAAAAAAAAAAAAAAACAAATATGAAGAGATGCAAAGTAGGAATGGAACAAAACTGAATGAAAAACCAACACAGACACACAGCAAGGAGAATTTATTTGGTGTAGCCACTCAGCTCTACAGTCCCTCCCTCCCAATAATTTATCGAATCGAATCAGTTAAATGGAAGGCATTGGTGGCAACAACTGTTATACTTTTATTACTTGACCCCACGAAGAAAAGCAAGGAATGTGAAAGGTTGTCACCTTCCGCAGGCGAAAACGACGTTGTCTTGGGAGTATATTCCACCATAGCCAATTCGCTGTCCCTCGTAGGGCTACCAAAAGATAATGGCGCTGTAGAAGAAGAAAAGGACAAAACCCAACTCAGATTTACAGCAAAATCCGATATGGAAAATAACGGATAAAGTAAAAAAAGGAAAAATGGAAGCGGAGAACAAAAAGGGACCTTGAGGGGCACAGATGGGGCCCTGCCGGCCGAACAAGTAAACTTGCTCATAATGGTACAGAAGACTTAGATAGTGTTTTCTCAATACAAACGAAGCACTTGTGGTCGTAGGAGAAAACTTAAATATACCTCCAACTTCCCTCCATTTCTTCTCTGCAACAACCTAGCCCGCCATGAAATAGGAACTTGCATCGTCAAAATCACTCCATTTTCCCAAACCAAGAGCTTTGTTGTTGAAAAATGGAAGACGAAGGGCCAAACTTTACCTTTTCATGGCCGCCCCTCCTTGTAACCTCTGAATACAAAACATGCAAGTCTAGCTCCTTCCCTCCGATCACAGGAATCCTTTTCAAGTATTCAAGGAAAGGAAAGTAAAAGTTAAAAACTTCGATTTCTTCATATTTTTTACTGGATAAAGATTGATGCTTAGAAATTAGAGGAAGGAAAAGAGTAAAAAAATGGTATCTTTTGGCTGTGCAGCGCCATTTTACTTCATTTACCAAGTCAGAAAAAGAAAAAGTAGAAGAAGAAGATGAAGAAAGGTGTCTCACATGAACTTGGTGTTCATCACAAAATGAAAACGCCTCAAAGTGTCCCAAAACACAATGGGGTCAGAAATAACTTCATCATGGGAGGCCAGCGCCGGTGGGTAATGCTTATCCACGCCGCCATTCCAGCTCTTGGTCCTCGCCGGCGTTGACATGACCGGGAAAATCAGAAAGGACAGAGAAGAAAAGAAAGGGGAGAAGGAGGAAGAAAGAGGAAGAGCATATGATTTGGAAGATAAATAAAGTGGATTAAAACTAAAAGAGAGGGCGGGGGGAAAGAAAAGAGGAAGAATTAAAGAAGATGGTTGGAAGCGAGAAAGGCAACTGTTACGCAGAATTGGCTTTTAGTGAGGTAAATATTTTCATAAGAGAAATTAATTAATGTTCTTGTTCTTGTTCTTGTTCTGGTGTGAGTCGAGTCGAGTCGTGTCATTGGAAGTGTGCAGAGATTGTAAAGAGGTCTGGTCTGCCAAAACCCAAACGTTGACATGCACTGTCACTCCTTTTTTCGGTTTCTGAATCATATCTCTGCGCCAAGATATTTGAAACCACACTTTTTATTATTGTTATTATTGTTATTATCATTATTGACTGAGCCGAGTTAGTGTCAAACTTTGTTCCTCACACAGACGGTTCAGCGTAGGATTTTAATGCAAATGCAGGAAAAAAGGTGTAAACTTTTCCCTATCCACTCGCTATCACTTCCAAATGTGCTTGCTTCCTCCATGCATACCCTGCGCTGAGTGGTCTATATTCGCACTGTCCCTCGCCCCCTCTCATTTTTATCGTTCCTGTCCCAAGTTTAAATGGATTCCAACCCTCACGGGTGTTTCTTTTTTTAAATATTATTATTATAAATAATATATTTATATATTTATAAGTGTTTTAGTGAATTTTTGTGCACTCCCCATTTATAAACGAGAAAAGGTGAAAACAACCTTGAATATAATACAACGAGTACAATATTTGCTAGTGTCAGGATTACAAATGATATCAGCGTTAGACACCAGGCGATGTGTCAACAAGGAAGTTGAGCCCCGACGGGTGGTAGACACCAGGCAGTGTGTCAGTAAGGATGTTAGGCTCCAAAGGGGTTTCCACATCAATTGGAGACGAAAAAGAGTGTCAACGAAGATGTTAGGCCCCGAAGTGAGTGGATTGTGAGAGCCCACATTAGGGGAGGAAGACAAATCATCCTTTGTAACTTTGAGAGGAACCTCGAAAGAAAAAACTAAAATAATAATATCGGTTGACGGTGTGCTTGAGATTTTACATCAAATGTTAGTAAAGCTTCAATAAAAAAGTATTTTTGCACTCCACTAATGAATTAGTACAACTCAAAATTAAGGTTGAATAAAGTTTTAAAAATGTGTGTTTTTATATATTTTTTAAAATGAAAATTAAAGTGACAATATATATATAACGTATAAAAGAGTCATAAAACTTGAGTCATTTTCATTAATATGTCAATTTGATTTTTTCAGTATGAAACTATAAATAAAATTAAATTTGGTAAGAGTAACTGCTGATAGCTAAGGCAAGCTCTCATCATTTCAGTAACCACCCATGACCATTACTAATTCAAATTCGATTTCTAAGTAACCCTTAGCATAAGCTTATTCTCCCTGTACTAGTAAACTTCAAATATTTCAACATTTAAATTCCACGTGGCCTTATCAATTATAAAATAATTTTATTACACTCCTAAAATAAAGATATAAAAAAGCTCATTAAACCCTTTTTAAAATTTAAGAACTAAATAAATTATTATTCTTAAACAACACCGAATTACAGCGAAAGAAAATAAAAACTCTCATTTTTCGCGGGGCTTTCTTATTAAATGCACTTTTCTGACATGCCTAAATATAATCCATAACTATTGTTCTTTTATTATTATGAGAAATAAAATACACATTAAATGAACATAAATGAAATGGCTGAGCTTCCCCGTACAAGAGTTTCACTTCCAAATTTAAAATTATCATTCCTCTCCATAAAATCATAGTATTATTATAATCTTTACTTTATTTTACTGATGAAAAAAAAAAAAAAAACTTTTAAATCATTTCGAAAACACTTTTAAATAAAAAATAATTATTAATATATAATTTAAAAAACTTTTATTAAATTTATATTTGTGCATTGATTTTCCGGTTTGGAAAGGAAAATATGTCATTTCTTTCCATCTAATAACACTACGGTTTTATGGAAAGGGGGGAGACTTTTAAATTCTGAAGTGAAATTCTGGTGCGTGGAAGCTCAGTCATTTCATTTATGTTCATTTAATGTGTACTTTATTTCCCATAATTTTTAAGCTAATATTAATGCTTATGGATTATAATTAGACATGTCAGACAAAAGTGCACCCCCCCCCCCCCCCCCCCCCCCCCCCCATGAACCAGAGATTACTCTCTTTTTTTGGTGTAATCCGATGTTACTTAATAATAATAAACTTCCAATTATAAATTCCTAAAATCACTATTTTTGTAATTACTCAAACTATTTTTATTCCATTTTATTCCAAATTAACTCAAATCAATAGCCTTCTTTATTAAACGTCCGTTGGAGAAGTTATAAATTTTATTTTCGTTTATGTATTTTTAATTATCTAATTTTAACCGTCCAACTTTTAATAAATAATATAATTTTAAGATTTATTAATAGATATTTAAAAATAAAAAAATAAAAAAATATGAAAACGAAATATGGTATTTTAGTTTATTACTTTAAGTACTGAGGCGCCTGCCTGTTCCAGTCTACGAGCATCCGGCGGCTCAAATGATAAATTTTATTTAACCGCGGGTTTCTTCTCTTTACTGCCTTCCTTCATTTTTTTTAACCCCTGGATCATGTTTGTGATGTAATGTTTACGCCTCCAATGCATTAAATATAGTAGTATTTAACCTTTTACCAACTCTTTTACCACCCCGTTTACCAATAGTTATTTTTCATTTTTTAACCATAAAATCCCACAAACCCCTACAACAAATAAATAAATAAACTACTATGTTTGATCTACGATTATTACAGTTATGTTCAACAAGTCTTCTTCCAATACTTAATTCCACTGGCTGACGTAACCCTTCAGAACCATTCATCAGGCGCCCCCGGACCCATATTACATACTGAATCAAACCCTCATCATTGTTTGTTTGATCCATCTAAATTAATTAAATACAACCCCAGCGCCTGCGTCCCTTTCCCTGCAATTGTTGATATATCCATTTCCTCTCAGATTTAGGGTTCATGGGGTTTTCTTGGTTTGATGTGGGTTTGTTTAGCAAAGGACTTCCCCACAGAGTTTATTGGCATTCTGTCCACCTCCGTTCCCGGCTTCAGCGAGTGTCTGGTTGGGGTTTTATATGATGATGATGGGGAGGTGTGTTGGTTTTCACACAATTTCGGTGAGAGGAAATTGAGAAAATGCGTAACAAAAAGGAGAGAGAAAAATAACTCTGACTGCGTTCAGGTTGTTTTATTTTGTGAATAAATCTTCCTATTTAAAGTAAAAAAGAATTCTAAAATTGGCTGGAGAGTGGCCAACTAAATCTGTGCCACTCCCTTCTAAAACTCTAGTGATCCATTCGACGTGATTTGTCAAATGGTCAAACTCACGATTTTCTGAAATCGTGTGAATAAGAAAAACGGTAAAACAGGTTTTATCTAACAAGGTGGGCATTCTGCCAATTCAGCTCTGTCGGATTCTCTTTGTAACACCCCTCATTACAAAGAAGTTGAAATCAAGGCTTGTTTACAAGGTTTCAACCAAGTTTGGGTCAAATTCTGAATCTTCAAATCTAAACTCTCCAGTGCAAATTTTGTGAAGAAAAATGAAATGAAATGATTGTTTCTCCTTTGCAGCTCACGGGGCCGAAATCATAATGATGATGAACGCAAAGGTAATAACTTTTTTACTTTTTCAACTCATTTCTGTCTCAAAAATTCAAATTAAAAATGCTTTATGGGTTTTGCGACAATGATTTGTTATCGGTGTGTGTTCATAGCCTTCATGCATGCCTTGTCTCTCTCTCTCTCTGTCTGTCCCTCATTTTTAGTTTCACTTTAATTATTACATTATGTTTGGTTTAATAATCCCTTCGACTTATTCAATTTCCCAACCCTTCATTTCAATACCCAAAGATGCTTCCATTGATACCCTCTCCTCAGGGCGGCGCGCGTGTGTTTCAGTCGGCGGTTCGCGGCGGCGATTGGAGGCCACGGATTGTTTATGGACGGGTGTTGGTTTGTTTGAAGGTTTGCGTATTTTCTGGGTTTATTTTTTGGTATTGGAATTTGAGCCTATGAAGATCTGATTTGATCTTCTTCTTTTAGCTTTGGAGTTAGGGTTTGGTGTTTTAAGATATGATTTAAAGTATTCAAAAAAAAATATAATTCAAATATTCAAACTACCGAGATTTTAGGAGATTGTCACTAAATTTGAATTTTTCTAGATTTCGATGATTTACTATTTCTGGACCGTATAAGATATAAATACTGTAATTGTGTAACCCTCTAAGCATCAAGTTAGTAGACAATAATAGAGCACTACAACATTCATCTATTCTATTTCCAACCATTTTGGTATCAGAGTCAATGATTATTTTCTTTCACAAAACAAAAATGGTAGTAGTTGGCTTTTCTTCCTCTGCACCACCGTTGTTACCGATCTTTAATGGTGAGAAATATGAGTGGTGGAGCATCAAGATGAAGACCTTGCTCAGATCGCATGAGCTATGTGACTTGATGGAGCATGAGTTTGTTGATCTATTAGAACCCACAATAGAAGAAAATGAGACTAAAGAGAAACCAAGAAAAACGATGCCAAGGCTTTATTCATTATTCAGCAAGCAGTTCATGAGACTATTTTCTCACGAATTGCAGCAGCAACCACATCAAAGCAGACATGATCAATTCTATAGAAGGAGTTGAGATTCAAAGGTTATGATAGTGAAATTGCAAATTCTATTACGAGATTTTAAACTCTACTCATGACGAATGGCAAATCAATTGCTGATTTTTTGTCAAGAGCAATGACAATAGTTAGGCAGATGCGTACCTATGGAGAGAAAATTTCAAACGAAACAATTGTTGCAAAAGTGTTGAGAAGCTTGACTCCAAAGTTTGACCATGTGGTGGCTGCCATAGAAGAAGCCAAGGATCTATCCATACTCTCCGTTGGTGAATTGATAGGCTCGCTTCAGGCCCATGAGGCAAGAAACAATAGAGCATCAGAAAGGAACGAAGAAAAGGCACTACAGGTGAAGGAGACAACCAACAACGAGAATAACGAAAGAGAAAATATTCATTTAGCAGTAGAAGAGGAGGATTTCGCAGCTTCCATGGTGGTCGTGATAACAGAGGTAGATGGGGGAGTGATGGACAGAGACAATTCAATGAACAAAGGAATGTCATACAATGTTACCATTGCATAAGGTATGGGCACACAAAATCTGATTGTAATTTTGCAGCAGAGAATGAAGAAGAAGAAGAAAAGCTGCTTATGGCGTGCATGGATACTAATCCAAAAAATGGGCAAGTTGAGGGAAAAGGTACAGTGAAAGTCGAAACCAATCATGATAAAACAATGAGATAATGTTCAATTTGTACCTAATTTAGGGTATAATTTATTGAGTGTTGGACAATTGATGACCAGAGGACATTCAGTTCTATTTTGATAACAACACATGTGTCATTACACATAAGAAATCAGGCCATAAAGTTTAAATTGACATCACTTCAAATAAGATGTTCCACTTGATATTTCTAACATGGAGGATTTTGCTTTTGCTGCTATCACGAAAGATGACTCAACGTTATGACATCTCAAATATGGACATCTTCATATGAACGGCCTGAAAATACTCGGGAATAAATGAATGGTTTTCGGATTACCAAGAATTGACTCAACTAATTTATGTGAATGATGCATTTATGGCAAGCAGACTAAGAAGTCCTTTCTTATTGGAAAAGCTAGAAGAGCTTCACATTGTCTAGAACTAATTCATGCTAATTTATATGGGCCAATGCAAACGAAGTCCTTGGGTGGGAGTATATATTTTTTACTATTCATGGATGATTATAGTCGCATGAGCTGGGTTTACTTCCTACAACGTAAGTCAGAAACTTTTCAGAAGTTCCAGATTTTTAAAGCTATGGTAGAGAACCAAAGTGGCTGTCACATTAAAGTTCTTCGAACAGACATAGGAAGCTAGTTCATATCTAAATAGTTCAATCTGTTTTGTGAAGAAGAGGGCATCCAAAGGGAATTAACAGCTCCCAACACTCCAAAACAAAATGGAATCGCTGAACGAAAAAATTGAACTATTGTGGAGATGACAAGAAGTATGTTACAAGCAAAGAGACTTCCAAACCAATTTTGGGCAGAAGCCGTAGCAATATCTGTTTATCTATTAAACATCTTACTAACAAAGGCGGTTATGAATCGAACTCCTTATGAAGCATGGCATGGAAGGAAACCAACTGTAAGTCGTTTACGAATCTTTGGTTGTGTTGCTTGTGCTTTGAAACATCCTCAAATTCGTCAAAAGCTTGATGAAAAATCTGAAAAATGCATTTTCATTGGCTATTGTACAACCCCATCAGTGAAAAGATTTTAGTTAAAAGGGATGTAATATTTAATGAAAACGTGAGTTGTGATCGGAGTAAAGAACAGGAGCAGCAAAAGATTACAGTTGAAGTTTCTCCAAATGAAGAGACAAGAGTCAACTCCAATGCATCTCCTAGTGCCTCCACTGCAATACAAAATATGTCAAATTCATCATCTTCAGTATCACTAAACAGTGATTCTTCTTTTTCTCCAGTAGCTCGTTTTGAAACTGTAAGAACTATTCTAGCATTAACAGTAAAATTGCGGTGGTTGGTTTATCAGCTTGATGTTAAGTCAACATTTCTTAACGGAGATTTACAAGAAGAGGTTTATGTAGCACAACCAGAAGAATTCATAAAGAAGGACAAATAAACAAAGGTATACAAGTTGAGAAAGACACTATACAGATTAAAGCAGGCCCCTCGAGCTTGGTACAACAAGATTGATGAGTATTTTCAAAAGAAAGGATACATGAGAAGTGAGAATGAGCCTACTTTATATGTGAAGAAGGAAGAAATGACAGATGCTAGAAGGTTCTGGAGCTTGATTGGCAGATTAATTTATTTAACTCAAACACGACTCGACATTGCATTTCCTGTTGGTATTATTTCTAAGTTTATGCAACATCCTTCAAAGGTTCATTATGGAGCAGCAAAAAGAGTCTTACGTTACATTGCCGAAACTATAGAGTATGAAATTTGGGTCAGGAGCGATCAGTTGGAGCTCAAAGAAGCAAGCAACAATGGCGTTGTCAACGTTAGAAACAGAATCTGTTGCAGCAACTTCAGCAGCGTGTCAAGCTATTTGGCTAAGAAGAATGTTAGCTGATCTTCAACAAGAGCAAAAAGGGGCAACAAAGATATGTTATGATAATAAAAGAACTATTTCTATGACAAAGAACCCAGCATTTCACGGTAGAACAAAAATCTGTTAGTAGATATAATTCAAATATTCAAACTACCAAGATTTTCGGAGATTGTTAGTAGATTTGAATTTTTTTAGATTTGGATGATTTACTATTTCTGGTGTAGTGTATCCGCTATAAACATTATAACTGTGTAACCCTCTAAACATCAAGTCAGTAGACAATAATATGCTTTTAACCTATAATCCGAAGTAGTTTAATGATTGGATTTGTTTAGGGTAAGCACTAAATGTTAAGATTTAATTTAAGAACCCTTGCAACTATTCTCACAAATTACCTTTTCTTTTCGAAAAATCATTATTGGACACACACAAGAATTCTCAAAATAGAAAATCATTGTGAGCTAGGAATGCCGCAAGGAATATCCTAAAAGATTGGACCCAAATGATATTCGACCCTTTGAAAATAATTAGCTTTTTTTTTATTTTTTTATCTCAATTTTAATATATATTTTGAATGGATACAAATTATTTATAAAACTTGTTTGAGAATAAATAATAAAAAATTATTATAAAAAAAATAAAAATAAATGTGGATATTAGAGACAAAAGTGCGCGCGAGTCTGTGTAGGTTGGAAGAGGAAACGAAGTTGGTTTGGAAAGTTGGGAGAGAGCGTGTCGACATTGATGTTGCCATCATGGTCTCATTTCATTGCCCCGTTATCCTTCTCCCCTCTCTTCGCGCCTCGCCTTCAACTCCTTCGTCTTCTTCAAGTTTCTTCCGTTCCCTCTTTTCTCTCTGCATTGCCGCCTTCTTATTCTCCTCCTTCCTCCTCCTCCTCCTCTCTCAGACCTTCTTCCTTCTCATCTTCTCGCCGCCGGATGGGATCTCTCTCTGCCCTACATGAACCCCTGCGCTACCCTACTTCCCGCAGAGACGACTCTGTTGTGGAGGACTATCATGGCGTTCGAATCGCCGACCCTTACCGATGGTAAGCGCTGTTCATTTTCCGCTTCATTTGCTTTTTGTTTTGGTTCGTTGTTTCTTTTGTTTCTGTCTGTCTCTGTCGTGGTGTTGTGAGGGATTTTTCTAGTCAATGGAGTCTTCTCTGTTTAATCTGTGTGAATGTCTCTGGTGTGGTCTCGTGAAGGATTTCCTTAGTCAATGGAGTCCTCGCGGATTAATCGGTGTCGATGAGTCTGGTATGGTCTTGTGAAGCATTTTATTAGTCAATGGAGTCGTCGCTGGTTAATCGGTAACGATGCCTCTGGTGTGGTCTGGTCTTGTGAAGGATTTTATTCGACGATGGAGTCTTCGCTGGTTAATCTGTGTGAATGTCTCTGGTGTGGTCTCGTGAAGGATTTCATTAGTCAATGGAGCCTTTGCTGTTTAATCGATGTGAATGTCTCTGACGTGGTCTTGTGAAGGATTTTATTAGTCTATGGCGTCTTCGCTGTTGAATCTGCGTGAATGTCTCTGGCGTGGTCTTGTGAAGGATTTCGTCAGTCAATAGAGTCTTCGCTGAATAATCGGTGTGGTCCTCTGAAGGATTTTATTAGTCAACGGCGTCTTCGCTGTTTAGTCGGTTTGAATGTTTCTGATGAGGTATTGTGAGGAAATTTATTGGTCCATGGAGTCCTCACTGTTTAATCGGTGTTCTTTTGACGAAGTCACATTTTGTAAGATTGCGTAGCGCCTTTGGGCTTGTGCCTTTTTTTAAATGAATAGATTCTGTATTCTTCTGTTTTTTTTCTGTTTTTGAACGTAATCCTCGCTTTTGGATATGTCTAATTGCATTGGGATTTGTTCTTAGGCTGGAAGATCCTGATGCTGATGAAGTGAAGGAGTTTGTGCAGAAACAGGTGACATTGACAGAATCAGTGCTTCAGAAGTGTGATACGAGACAAAAGCTCCGCGCGAAGATCACTCAACTCTTTGATCATCCGCGATATGAACCGCCTTTTAAGCGAGGGAATAAGTACTTCTACTTTCATAATACTGGCCTTCAAGCGCAGAGTGTTCTTTATGTTCAGGTTCGTCGCCTTCGCATTTAGGTTTGTCTTTTTGCCAGTGCTCTTTAGCTAGCTGAAGGATGCATTATGTGTTTTTTTCTTCTTTCCTTCCGATATTACATCTCAGGATAGTTTGGATGGAGAACCTGAGGTTCTGCTCGATCCGAATGCACTAAGCAAAGACGGAACAGTCTCGTTGAGTTCTCTTTCCATCAGCCAGGATGCTAAATACATGGCCTACGGGCTTAGTTCAAGTGGCAGCGATTGGGTGACAATTAAGGTCATGAGAATTGATGATAAAAAGACTGAACCGGATACGTTATCATGGGTGCGTAATTGTAGTATGTTCATTTCACATCGTTTACTGGAACAACACAATGAATAAATTAATGTGGTCAAATGACCTGATATATGGATCGATGATGTTTCAGGTAAAGTTTTCTAGTATTAGTTGGACGGTTGATGGCAAAGGTTTTTTCTACAGCCGCTATCCTGCTCCAAGGTGAGTAACATGTGAAGTGCTACTTCGGTTTCTGGCGGGATTGTCTGGTCAACGATCTTATGTTTGATTGAATTTATTACACGATGGATTCTTGTCAAACTTTATGAAACATGGATTAGTAATATAGAGAATTTAATGTAGGAAATTAGTAAAACTGCCGGTTTAGACAGAACAGATACACAAACTGTTTGATCTACTAGTTCAGAAGCTAGGCATTTCAGTCCGCAGGATTGATTTGAACTTTTATTCTTTTTTTTTTATTTTTTATTTTATTATTGAATGAATTATAAATTTCGGTTTTCTTGTTGTTACTGTAGAGAAGTAGGAACTTTAGATGCTGGTACTGAGACGAATGCAAATCTTTATCATGAATTATACTACCATTTTTTGGGAAGTGATCAATCCGATGATGTTTTATGTTGGAGAGATCAAGACCATCCTAAATACCTCTTTTCAGGCAGAGTTACTGAGGATGGAAAGGTAATAATCCGCTGTTTCATGGATCTGGAGTGTTCTTAGGATTGGTTTCTGATTTTTGCCACTTAGTGGGCTATATCATGGTATTAGTGCTCTTATTACTTCTGTAACCATATTATTAATCATTGTTCCCCTAAATCCTTTACAAGCTAAGTTGGCTCCTGTAATGATAGTGCTTTATTGATTTATATATTATAAGTACCCACTGTCTGATATGCCCGTATATTCTTTTACTTTTACTCAATTAAGTTTGGTTTTTCATTTAAAAAATGACCAATTTGTGTGACATGTCTCATCTTAATCTACTTAGCTTGAAATATATTTTCGTTCTGTGTTAGATCTGTCATCCTTACAGAGCTACTGTTTAAATGATCATTGTGAAGGGTTGAACGTTGCTCTTTTGCCACTAAGCGATATTTAGGTATAAAATGTGATTGAATTGCTTCATAATGAATCATAGAAGATTCAATGAGATGTTAAGGTTCAAAGAACTTATAATAGTGCTGTCATTGTTATGCTAGATTTATTCTATATAGAATTGTTTTAAACTTTCCAGTATTGACGTATATGTGCGCATAAATTCGTCATTTCTCCAATTCAAAATTCCCCATATGTGGTTTTCAGCATGCAAGCTTGTGTACAATAAAAATATTCCCTCATATATTGCATTTTTGATTGATTGTTATCTTGTTGCATTTACATCTTTACTGACTTCATTTCAATTTCCAGTATGTCCTTATGGAAATTAGCGAGGGTTGTGATCCAGTCAACAAATTTTACTATTGTAACATATCAGAACTTCCTAATGGACTTGAAGGCTTTAGGGAGAAAAATGACCTGCTTCCTTTCACAAAACTCATTGACGACTTTGATGCTCAGTATCATGCCATTGCAAATGATGACTCGTTGTTCACCTTCATAACAAATAAAAACGCTCCAAAATATAAGCTTGTTAGAGTTGATCTGAAGGATCCCACGGTATGGACAGAATTGCTTCCAGAATCTGAAAAGGATGTGCTAGAATCTGCATGTGCTGTTAATGGAGATCAAGTGATAGTGAGCTACCTGAGTGATGTCAAATATGTTCTGCAGATTAGGGACTTGAAATCAGGTTCCTTGTTGCATCAACTACCCGTTGATATTGGCTCGGTTTATGGAATTTCTGCTAGGCGTGAAGATAGTCTAGTTTTCATAGGGTTTACTAGCTTTCTTACGCCTGGAATTATTTATCAATGTAATTTGGAGACTGGGACTCCAGATATGAAGATATTTCGTGAAATTGCTGTTCCTGGATTTGAGCGCTCAGAATTTGAAGTTGATCAGGTAAGAGTTCTTTATATGTTGAAAATGCAGTCCAATTTTTCTGGCCGAGTTATGATTGTCAATTGTGCCGTGTTTATCTTAAGCCGTTTGGGTATTTGTGTCCTTGCTCAATTTTCTCTTCAAGATCTTTTACGAATCTTCTTATGTCTATAGGTTTTTGTCAGTAGCAAGGATGGCACGAAAATACCAATGTTCATTGTGGCCCGAAAGAATATTGTGTTGGATGGATCACACCCTTGCTTGCTATATGGATATGGTGGCTTTAACGTCAACCTGACGCCATATTTTAGTGTGAGTCGTACAGTACTTGCAAGGCATTTAGGGGCTGTTTTCTGCATAGCTAACATTCGTGGTGGTGGAGAATATGGGGAGGAATGGCACAAAGCGGGTTCTCTTTCAAAGAAACAGAATTGCTTTGATGACTTCATTTTTTCTGCTGAATATCTTATTTCTGCTGGTTATACCCAGCCAAGTAAGTTGTGCATTGAAGGTGGAAGCAATGGAGGGCTTCTCGTTGGAGCTTGTATTAATCAGGTGTGAAACAGTGTTTCTAAATCTCATTTTACCAAGTCTTCATTGAGTTATAACTGAATTCTGCTTCTTGTGGCAGAGACCTGATCTTTTTGGCTGTGCATTGGCTCATGTTGGAGTGATGGACATGCTGCGATTCCACAAGTTTACAATAGGTCGAGTTCACATATTGCAAGATTAGTTTTTTTTTTTTTTATTATTCATTCATGAGTTGCTTGTTTAATCAAGTTATTGTGTTTAGGTCATGCCTGGACTTCTGATTACGGTTGTTCGGACAATGAGGAAGAATTTAAGTGGCTAATCAAGTGAGTGAAGTTGTATTCTCTGCATAAAAACATATTTAAGCTCTTGTAAAAATACCCCTCTTCTTATTGGTCTTTGTTTCTATTTGCTGGTTGATATGATTCCTGTTATTTCCAGGTATTCCCCACTCCACAATGTCAAGAGGCCTTGGGAACAGCATCCCGATCGACCTTTGCAGTACCCATCAACCATGCTACTTACTGCTGATCACGATGATCGTGTTGTGCCTTTGCATTCATTGAAGTTATTGGCGGTCAGTCTTTCTAACATCACGAAAATGCTTTCATATTTTATCAACAACACTATTTTCTCATTCATGATTCCTTTTTTTACTTCTTCATTACTTAATTTCCTTCGAATTTATGGGCATTTTCAGACAATGCAATATATTCTATGCACTAGCTTGGAGAAAAGCCCCCAAACAAACCCTATAATTGGTCGCATCGAGTGCAAGGCGGGCCATGGAGCCGGTCGTCCTACACAGAAAATGGTAATTTTCGAATGTTCAACCATAGATAGTCATTGACATTTTTTAAAAATAAAATTACTATTGCACATGCCTTTTGAAATAATTGAGGCATCGTTTTCGTTATATTTACAGATTGACGAAGCATCTGATCGTTACGCATTCATGGCCAAGATGTTGTCCGCAACTTGGATAGATTAGATATATTATTTGATACAACAAATCAGAAATGTTGCATGGGTTGCATGGGCTCTTTATATGAAATTTGTACCAGATAACTACATTGTAGTGGAAGACATCCAAAATAAATGTTGAGCCTAATTAGCATTCCTACAAAATCAACTTACAAGAAGATGGTTACAATGATTATCATAGGAACTTATAATACAAAAGTTTAATATTTAAAAGTTTATTAATTGCTTTTCATCCTTTAGATTACGTCTTCAAATAATTCCAATAAAAAGGCTCAGGAAATTTAGACATATATACGCAGGATAATTTATCCCGTACAAACTGTGGTCTCCTCATTCAACGTTAAAAATATACCTGGGTACCAACCAGTGAATAATCTTTTCACGTTCTGATGGACTGCGACGATGAAGCACCCTTATTGGTGTGGTGTTCTCTGCAAGAAAAACAACAATTTCGCTTTATTGTTCTTCAGAATACAGCTCCCGATATCTTAACTAAAGATGCTTATGAAAATCTCAAACAGGACCCAGGTTTACATATGCAACTAAAATGTAATGAATGATGATATTGACAAATAAATTGTCGTCCTCAAGTGGGCGAGATGTCCACACAAGTGCAGCATATTGCTTCTGCATGATTCATAAAGAATGACCAATACAGAAGGCAGACCTTTCATTTCACCAATAAGCACAAGACTCGTTCCATATTATAATTCAATAAAACTTAGTAATTGTAATCAACAAAAAGATTGTTCACGGAGAAAACCTGATTCTCTGCTGTCCCTCTTCTTGCACCAATGCCCAACCCTCGCTCCCTTCAACTTTCAGATTTCTTACGCCAACCTGCAATTATAATGTGATTGGTATGCGGTTCGCAGTTATTTAAATCAATGGAAGAAGCAATAAAACATGAACAGTATGCTACCATTTTTTTTTTCTGAGCTATTAATCTTTGACTTTATTTTATTTATAATCATTTCAGATGGGAGAAGACGCACATTCTTATCTCAACCAGGAAAGGTCTACCCAAACCAGTATTCAAACCTCAGAAGCAAATCAAAACTAAATTAAACAGTAACTGAGCTTACCATTTGTCACTTGAGTGAAATAAGATTTCCAGTACATCGAGATCTTCTCTACCAGCTGCATGGAACTTGTAACTATCACCTCGACACAGGGGAAGAATATTGTTGCCTAGAATCTCCTGCAGACACCCATTATACTGTCAACTTTTGCTTGTCTAATGAACAGTTGTATAATAGAACATTCGGTCACCAAAGAAACAATCACTACCTCGACCGATGCTTCTCCCATTCTCTCACCACCAACTACCCATCGTGTTTGACTCACATTTCTTGAATACTACAATAAAAGTTGATAATCCGGGGAGTTGTGACTTCCGAGTCAGTGAAATACTCAACCAAGTCGTCATGGGGGAAAAAGAAAGTGGAAAAGTAAAACTTAGCTTACCGAAACGATCCAAGTATATAGAAGTCCTATAACAATTTGAGCCCAATGGTATGGTTCACCGATCTATATAGATTTGAGTTGGGGCGAGAGACAGAGAATACCACTATTAGTAACGAGTTAAAAATGTAACAAAATCTGAATGTGAAAGTAAGCGTCAAATTATTAAAAAAGTAAGCAAAGAAAAAAGAGTTGATTTCTTGAGTCCTTTACACCGATATTAGAAAATGATAAAAAGAAAAAGATTCACATCATTAATTTCTACATTGCGAGCTTGCAGTTTATTGAGTCTAATTCCTCGGGTGAAATCATCCCGTATACATCCAATGAATGTTCTTTTTTGTTGTCTTTTTTTATCGAGTATGCTTTCAATGAAATCAAATTGTAAAGGAAATATTTTTATTAATAACTAGAACATAAGGACCAAAGTTCATTCAGTCAGTTACATCATCTTTTAAATCATTTAAGTACTATGCAACGAACTTACCTTTTCTTGAGGAAATTCAGCTTCTTGTGAAGGGTTGAAACAATCATCAACGACAGAATTGGCGTTACAATTTGAAATATCCGAGGGTTCATCATTGCCAGCTGCAATTGAATCATCATTAGCTTCTGAGCTACGATCACTGGCTTTAACAGACATCTCAGTTCATATGTCAAAAGTAACTGATTTAATACTTAAAAAGAAATACAAATAAATTCATATACACTGAGTTTCTAGAAGTATAGGAAATGATTGCAGCATCCCTGTAGGGTTCAGGAAGTAGAAACAACAAGACCTCTAAGAGAAAAGAAGCGAACGTATGAACTAGAATTGGGCTCCTGTACAACTTTGTGCTTCATATAAGTCCAGATGGGTAATGAAAGGAGACGAAAGTACTCATTTCTTCCACAAGTTGGCTGGCAGCTAAACGAAGGAAAGACTTTCTTTCAAAACTCGTGTTTCCTCAGAGGGCTTAGTCTGGCTAATGACAGCAATATTGAAACTGAAGCCGTCCATTTTTGGGAACTTGTTAGAAAAAACAGTCGATCTCTCTAGGGATCCTATTTCTGCTAAAAACAGAAGCTTCTTAAGGCAGCTCAAAATTTAGGCTCCATATTCAGAAGTGAAAATGACAATGTCGACATGTTTCAAATTCCCTTTTTCAATCACAGAATGACAATGCCTCACGCTAACAAGACCTCTATTACTTTGATTCTAGAAAGTTGGGAGGTTGCTCCATGAGGGACTTTACCTATCAGTGTTACCACTACTCTGTAAATAAAATTCTTGGCTGAGTGTTCAATATTGCCACACCATGTATAACAATGTGAATATATTAACTTTTGAAGCCTATTAATTAGTTTCCCTTTATTGTAATTTCGCAGGCACATACATATGCACGCACAAACACGTATATACTACTACTATGTTTCTCCCAAATCCCTACCACTTCCTAAATTCCAAATAGGTTATGTAGTATTGCAATAGGTTTTGATATGAATTTAATATTATTGTACATATAGATTAAAAGAACATGATATCCAAGCAAATTGATGGTAGTAATATATAACTTCTCATTTCTCAATTTATACAGAAGAGTAGTGACAAGTTGATAACAAAGGTTCAATTAACTTACCAATTTTTGTCATCTTGCAACCGTTCTGGTTTCTTTTGATGGAATTATCATTGCCGTTTGAAGCTTTAGGATGACTATAAGTTAAACGGATGCGAAAACCACCTGAACTAGATTTACAATCCTGCATAACTTCATGGATAAATTTTAAACAATGAACTTTTCCCTTCAAACAACAAAATCATAAAAGAAAAAAACTACAAAAAGAATAGTCCTCTTTATGATGAATGGCTCGTTCGCATCATTTTCCATAAGATAAACACTTTTCTTTAGTAAACAATGGAGAGATGCAACTCCACTCACCGGAAAGTCTCAAGAGGCTTTGTTATACAGATTTTTAATGCATCCTTTGCCCAAAGAGATAGAGCAAACCACCTCCTCTATCTTTTCAAATACAGCCTACAATACAGGGATGAAAATAATAACTACAAAATGAATTGACAGAGTAAAAATGGACTATTGAAAGTCCAATACAAACAAAAACGTGACAACATAAACGGAAGAGGTTTCAAGAGAATCATTATCTTCAGCCATTTCTCATATGGAATCATCCAATAATAACTTTAAAAACGGTTATGTTTCAGAACTATATGATAAAAATTTCTTTTTTTTTTTCTCTGTTTTCACCGTGATTCTTTTTGCAAGCACTTTACTTTTAGTTTTAAAAAATGTTTCCCAATGGTCAGCCAAATTTAGTTCACAAGAGAATAGATATTCAATTTTTTGTTTTCAACATCATTTGTTAGATGATGCTCTAGCTATAAACTTGTTATTCATTACCTCTAGACATAAATTTATTTCATTAATCTTTGCTTTTACTTTCTCTCACTAATTTTTTTCTGCACATCTCTTTTCACACAAAATCTTCGGTTAATCTCTTTTAACTTACATTTTCTCTTTTCACTTTCCTAAAGTCTTCGGTTACCAAACAAGCTTCTCATTTCTCCAGAATGATCGAAGGAACTGATACCTCAAGAGAAAAATTATCAATCTGATGGCCCTCTCCCTTTACCATCTCGGAAACTGAATTCAGTTAAATCATCAGCTCCTTTATATTTTACAAAGTTGCAGCCATATAAAAGCAGAAACAGTAAAAACAGTAAATGCAATAGATGCCAACACTATTTCTAATAGATGTCTCACTATTTCTAGTAAAAAACAGTAAACAGTAAAAGCAGAAGCAGAATCATCAGCTCAATTCCAATAGATGCCAAAACTATTTCTAGAAACAGTAAAAACGTGTCCATATAAAAGCAGAAAAGCGTCACTAAGCACATCCTAGAACATAATAAATGCTGATCAGCTATAGGCCAGTATGAGGTAAAGATTTAAAAAATGTTGCTGCTCATACTACTCCTATTATCGTCCTTTCCTTCTTATGATTTATTATTATTATTGTTATTGTTACAAAAATCATTATGACCAACATCACGCTGAAAATATACAGAAGTCATTGTTTCTTGTAAAATTCAATAGAACTTGTACTACAGAACATCGCTAAATAGCAAGCAAAAATCTGAAAATTGGAAACACAAAACATGACTTATCACGTTAATGATGTCATCGGATGACATAAATGTCAAAACCGTAACTCGGCGGGAGAAAAATCAACATCGATTGAAGAAAGGAGCACATTCAAACGCAACGAAAATTTCCTCTAAACGACAGACTATCAAGACATAAAGTAATGGCCGCCTTGTTAACAACGGTTATTCTGCTATGAAATCCTAGGTTCAAGTGAGGAAAAAACGGAGGATACAAATCGAACGAAAAAGTAATCCAAACTACAATCTGTCGAGTTGTGAAGCGATAGTTAATCGATCGCATTCCTAATTGACTATAAAATAATAGGTTGCGAGGAAAATATTAAGAATAGCAACCGAATAGAGAAGCACATTCAAAGTTCAAACACAAGCAGAATTTCCTCCAAACTGCATACTATCAGGTTATGTAATGATAGCTTCATCGATCGCATTCCTAGCGACGGTTATTCTTTACCATGGAGACTTCGATTGAAGCGAGTACAAAATTAAGGATAGCGACCAGATAAACAAAGAACATTCAAACTAAACCAGAATTTGCACCAAACTGCAATCCAACAAGCTATGAAGTGAAAATTTAATTGACCGCATTGCTTATGACGGTTGTTTAGGCTATGAAAATCCTAGGTTCAAGTGAAAGGTTCATAGACAAGAGATCGTACGCCAATCGACAACAGGACTTTGATCGCGTGAGAAGGCATCTACGGAGCGACATTGCTAAGTTGCTGCAGTTGATTATACTGAGAAATGGCTTCTTCAGCGGCGGAAGCAACAAATGTCGCCTCAGGATTCGCTTGCAATTCGTCCCGCTCGCTCCATAAAAGAACTCCAAAGAAAAAATTAACTTCTCCAGACTTGATAGTTTAGTGAATTGGGCGGGAAGGGAGGGGAAGGGAGGGAAGTTATAAGATTATATTGTTTGAACTTGGCACGCTCCTGTCCCGCATTCTTGATCGTTGGATCAACTCGACGTGGCAAAATTCATGTTTCTAATCCAGATTCCTAGATCCATCCAAAACGACGACGTAATCGTAGTTATTCGCATTGCCAGCAACCCTCCACATCACATTTAAATCTTATTTTAGTTCCTCGTTGCTCAAAATATCAATTTAAAATTTAGTCTTTTTCCTTTTGATAATATTTATTTCACGACAGTTACAAATATTTTAGGGATTCTCCATATTTGAAAATATTTAGACATTAATAATAAAAATAATTAATAAGTAAGCATTATTTAAAAAATTAAAGTGATTGGCTAAAATAGAATGGTTTTAAAAAAAATTCCTAATCATTTCAAAATATAAAGGATCAATCCTGCATTTGAAAAAGAAACTATATATTAAGATTCAGATGATGCTTCCTACAACAGTTGGGCAATCAAACTATTTGCATCCTCTGGTAAAAGTTGATGAAGGGGAAAGGCATTACCCACACGATCCGAAAAACTAGGCAGTGAAGAAAACCCAAAATTCTTGCAAGAAAAATGCAACCTCCCTAACAAAATCCAACCAACCCTACATGATGCAACAAACATTCACAACACTGCTGCCAATAAATATGATGCCATAAGATAACACAGTCCTTTCTGAAGAACGTAAAAGAGTGGCCTCCTTCACATTCTATCTTCTCTCCTCCTAGGGGCACATGTGATGATTTCATCAACTCTAAGAATCATCTCAGCAGCCTCCGTTGCAGAAAGCAATACGGCTTGCTTCACTTTGAAAGCTTCTGAGATACCAAGTTCAGCCATATCCCCTACCTGTCACAACATATACAATATACATCATCAAGGAAGCTTACAAAAATCATTTTTATTATTAAGTGATATGAATCGATCAGGCTATTGTCATGCCTCAAGGTCCAATTACAAGCACATAAACAGGAAATCTCTATCATTTGGCACTAATGCAGTCGGACATCCTTGATGATTAACTCAATATTGTTCTCTACCGAACAACTATGAGATAAAATCAAAGGTAATGACAACAATCTATCGACAAATTTTAGTGTGCAGTCATTGTCTTATAGAACTTCAATATTATAACATGACAAAAATGTGTTAGTAAAGATCAATTAAATAAGATAGTATGAGCACAAGGGATATTTAAATCGTGAAGGACTGCATTCTCCTGCATATGATGTCTAGTCACTGCAAAATTACTTAATGGCGATTAAGGTATTACTCTTCTAAAACATATTTCAATCTTGACACTTACCGAACCAGAGATGACGTCGATCCCTGCATTGCAACCTTCCTTGTGATGCTCAGCCCGGAGCTGTGCAATCAAGTCAGCACTATCCAACCCAGCATTATCAGCAATGATTGTTGGAATAGCCTGTAGAGCACGTGAAAAAGCTTCAATGGCGTGTGATTTCTTCCCAGGAGTCTTCCTAGCCAACTCATCTACTTCTTTTGACATAATCATCTCGGGCCATCCACCTCCAAGCAGGACTCTGCTGTCATTGACTGTCTGAGACAGTACACACAAGGCATCATGCAGAGACCTTTCAGCCTCATCAAGGACGTGATGACTGGCAAAGAACAAAAGACAACGCAAAAATAGCACTGTCAAAACATATAACAAAGCAAATGAAACAGCTCCAAGAAAAAAGTGTACATGTAAAATTACCATTACAAATTTCCAATTGAGGGTTTAAAGTATTTCAGCAGATGACAAGTAATATAAAAATGCACTTTTGGAAATACCTTGCACCCCTTAGCACAATTGTACACGCTTGACCCATTCCCACACCAGAAAAATGGATCAGTTTGTCCTCGCCAATCATAATCTCCTCAATCAACTTGCAATGTCCAAGCTTCACAGATTCCGGATTGTCAAAAGTTGAAGCAATCTCACCACCAGTTACTAAAGCCAGGCGCTCTATGCCATCAAAATCAGCATGCTCAATGGCAAGTATTCCTGCATCTGCAAATAGTTCCTCCGGGAAATTGTAGATCAACTGTCTGTTAACAAAGCAGTTGATTCCATGACCAATTATCTTCTTCACCTTCTCTCTCATTTTGTCCTTTTCAGCACCCTCAATTTCAGCCACTCTTGCCATTGAATCAACACGTACTCGAGCACCATAAATCTTGACTTTGTCGGTGTCCATAGCAGTATTTGCCACTAAAATTTTGGCATTCTCTATGCGCTTGGGTTGGCCAATACCAATTTTTTTGTCAAGAATAAACCTGAAAAAAAAAACATGTTCCCAAACTCAAATTTTAAAAGTTCTGTGAAAAAAAAAAAAGTGTATTTGTAGATGCAGTGAGTCTACTTGTACATCTAGAGAACTTTTCAGAAAATGTTCATATATTATGTCTACTTAACTCATTAAGTAGTCCTCAAAAACAAAAAGAAAACTCACCCTTCATCTAAAAAGGAATCCTTCAATGATCCTCCAGGTTTCTTGATGATTTGAATTGACTCCAAGTTTGTGCTCCCCTGCAATTTCAACAAAGTAAGTTTCAAATAGACACAAGTGCTCAAGGGTATGGAATATAAGACACACCGACATAACATGGAAACAGCTACACATCATCCAAAATGTTCCTCCCTCTCTCTCGTGCACACACATTAACAGAAAATATTAGATGGGGAACAGTATTCATCAAATGGCAGCAATAAACAGTATTTAAACTTGCAATCAAACTTGTTCGTAGATAATTTTTACCCAAATCACAATAAATGCAGAACGAGTGAGCATTCACCTTTAGCCTCATAACGGCATCCACTGCCAATTGAGCAAAATGTTCCTTGTCTTGTGATAGAATTTTGGAACTCAGAGTAGTCATTGCAATCTTCATCAAGTCTGATTTAAATTTCTCTGAAAAAGGGCAATGCATTGCTTCAGAATATGCAGTCATAGTCCATGTAAGATTTGAAATTTATACTCTTACCTAAAAAAATATACATTTGACAGTCTCACGCTGGACTAAGAGAAGGCAAAATGATAGAAAAGACAAGGTTATTACCTAAATCTGCTTTGTTATCCACCACTTTCTGCAGCAATGCATTACGAGCACATTCTGCAGCCATTCTATAACCTGAAAGTTTCAAATGAATCATCACAAGCTTTAGCATCTTGTACTCATCACAAGGTAGAAGGTACCAGAAAAAAAAAACATCAAAATAATCCATCTGGTTTTCATAGAATAACAAAAGGGATAGCGAGAGAGAGAGAGAGAGTGATTTCCTTTATGCATACACACACATAGAAAGAAGACAATACAGAATTATTTGAGAGGTATTCCATTAAGACAACATGATGCCACGATTTTTGAAAGCATGACACAGGCATACAACACAACCTTCTAACTCAAGGCTTTAAAAGGCTAAAGGCAACATTGAGGCTTTTCCTCTTGAAGGGGTGAAGCACAAGCCTCAAGACAGTATGAGACGTAAGCCTCAATTTTAGTTAATGACATGATATAAATCCTAAATTTGTGCCTACATAACGTATATCAATATATAACATACATATACACCCTTGTCAATTCCACTTAATCAAAAATTCTAAAATGATATCTTTAACATCACACTAAGGATTAGAAATAGTTCAAATTGTTAAAACCCAAACCTTTATATTTAAAAAATGAGGCAGTATTATTTTTCTAATCATTATACGAGGTGCAGAAACTTTAGGCCTCAGTGCGTTTTCATAGAGGTGTAAGCCTCTCACAGTCCAAACAAGGCACAAGTCTCAAGAATAAAAATTAGAGTCTTGCCTTGAAGCAAGCCTCGATAGCCTTTTAAGACATTGTTTGGACTTACAAAAAGTAAGGATCTTTGGTGAACCTATTACTATATCGTAATGTAAACATAAAAATAATAAGAAAAAACCTGCTATAATTGTCATTGGATGAATCTTTGAAGCAACCAACTTCTCTGCTTCCCTTAGAAGTTCTCCAGCCAAAACAACAACTGAGGTTGTGCCATCACCCACTTCATCATCTTGAACTTTTGAAATGTCTTAACCTTGTTGTTAAGGATTCTCCATTCAAAACCATAAGAAAGGCACGACTTCAAGAAAAATAAATGAAGTATCCATACAAGAATTGAATAACCTTCCGCAACTACAATAATCATGAAATTGCCTCTATCATAAACATGGTAAATAGTAAAATAAAGGATACCAACAAGCACTTTGGCAGCTGGATTATCGATATGGAGAGACTTTAAAATGGTGGCACCATCATTGGTGACAGTGACTTGCCTTCCTCTGCCAGTAGATTGGAGAATTTTATCCTGCAAGGTATTTCATGCACAATCAAGGAATCGTATAACTATAAGAAATAGAGACAAATTTTGTCAGATCGGTATCAGTTGTACTTCCTCCCCTATACGAGTGAACGATTCAGGGTGGATTTATTAATATCCATTATTAAAATTTTTCCAGATCTTTACTCAAAGTAAATGAATACTTAAAACTATACTCTATAGTAGTGATATAACGATGAGAAAGGAAAGAAACCCAAATGAGCTTAATACCCTCAGAGATCCATCTCATAATTTAGTAGACTAAGGAGAGTAACTAACCATCCCCTTTGGTCCTAATGTTGTCTTAACCAAATCAGCAATCGCCATAGCACCAATAAATGATGCCTACAAAATCGATTAAAAGATATTAAACTTACAAAGGTAATAAACGAGGAAATTTCTCTCGCTAGTAGAATCAAAGATCAACCAAAAAAATTGATACATACCATTCTAGCACGCTCTCCCTTCTCTTCGCTCGCTTCATCTTTCAGAAGTTTATCGACCTGCGAAGTAAAAATTCATGTAACAAAAAGAAAAAAACGATGAAAAAGATCTCAAACCCGATGAGAAATAACAGTCGGGAAAATGTAGTGACTAGAA